GTGATGATGTTGATGATCCTGATGATGTGGATGGTGATGAGATGATGATGAGTTTGATGATGATGGTGTCCTGATGATGATGATGAGGTTGATGATGATGCTGTTGATGATGATGGTGATGATGATGGTGTCCCGATGATGATGATGATGACGAAGACGATGATGGTGTCCCGATGATGATGATGTTGATGATGAGGATGATGATGATGATGTGCTGATGATGATTTTGATGATGGTGGCCCGATGATGGTGATGCTGATGATGATGATGTTGATGATGATGATGATGATGGTGTCCCGATGATGATGATGATGATGATGGTGATGATGATGATGGTGACGATGATGATGGTGTCCCGATGATGAAGATGATGCTGATGATGATGTTGCTGATGATTATGATGGTGTCCCGATGATGATGATGATGTTGATGATGATGATGCTCTTCATGATGATGGTGATGATGAGATGAAGATGATGGTGGTGTTCCGATGATGATGGTGATGATGATGATGAAGACGATGATGCTGGTGATGATGTTGATGATAATTGTGATGAGGTGATGATGGTGATGATGGTGTACCAGTGGTGATGATGATGATGATGATGATGATGTTGATGATGATGATGTTGATGATGATGACGTTGATTGTGAGATCGATTGTGACATCGATAGTGAGATCGATAGTGAGACCGAATGTGAGATCGATTGTGAAATCGATTGTGAGATCGATTGTGAGGTCGATAGTCAGATCGATTGATAGACCCATCGAATGACATAGATCGAATGAGATCGATTGTGAGATCGATCGATTGAGATCGATCGAGCGAGACCGATCGTGAGATCGATAGTGAGATCGATAGTGAGACCGATCGAGTGAGACGTTGGTTCCTCCCCCCCCGAGCCTCCTTACACCCGAAGGGTGGTCGTATAGGAAAAACGCACATTTTCAGCACACTCGCTGGCTTCGTCTTCACAGTGCCCCAGACGCCCCCGAGGAGCCCCAAGACAGCCCAAGAGAGACCCAAGAGGGCCCAAGACGGCCCAAAAAGATCGTCGGAACCCCCCAAGACGGCCCAAGAGGCCCCGAAGCCGGCCCAGGAGGCCTCCAAGACGGAGGCCCAAGAGGGCCTCGTTCGAAATCATGATCGCGGACGCCTCTCCGGGAACATGATTTCTGGGTTCCCAGGACGCCCAAGAGGCCCACAAGACAGTCTCAGCAAGGCCCAGGAGGGCCCGAGATGGCCTCAAGATGGCCGAAGATGGCCCTAAGAGGGCCTTCAAGAGTCAAGAGGCAAAAATCAGCCCGTTCCCGTAGTAAAACGTACAGTTTCAGCATCTTCCTTTGCTTCGTCTTCGCAGTGCCCCAGACGCCCCCGAGGAGCCCCAACACAGCCAAAGAGAGACCCAAGAGGGCCCAAGACGGCCCAAAAGGGTCGTGGTGTGGGGCTGACGGAACCCCCCAAGACGGCCCCAGAGACCCCAAAGCCAGCCCAGGAGGCCCCCAAGACGGCCTCAGGGAGGCCCAAGAGAGCCTCGTTCGAAATCATGTTCGCGGAAGCCTCTCCGGGAACATGATTTCCGGGTTCCCAGGACGCCCAAAGACAGCCCCAAGAGGCCCCGGACCTGCCGAAGATGGCCTCAGGACGGCCGACGACGCCGCCAAAACGCCCCAAGAGCGCTTCCAGAGGCCCCTCCAAAGGGCCCCAGAAGCCGAACATCGTGCATTTTCCAATGGTTTTTGAAGCATTCTTGCGCTCTTCCATGTTCCGCCTCCCCACGCTCCCGGACCGCGTCAGAGGCCCTTCAGATCGCTCCAAGACGGCCGAAGAGGCTCCCAAGAAAGCCCAGAGACGGCCCAGGAGGCTCCCCAGATAAGTCAAGAGGGCCTCGAGAGCGCCCCACGAGAGCCCCAAGAGCGACCCAAGAGGGCCCGAAGAGCGCGACATTTCGAGGTCTCCGGCCTGAGAGGCTCCTAGGACGCCCCCGGAGGCCATCAAGAGGCTTCCAAGAAGCCCCGTGAGGCTCCCAAGAGGCCCCCCAGAAGCCCCAATAGGCCCCCAAGGGACCCCCAGGGAAGCCCCCTGCAGGCCCCCAAGACACTTCGGTAAATCTTATTTCCCAGATAGCTATCCGGGAACATGATTCCTTGGGCTTCCGCCCACCGCCCCAACCATGTTTCCAATAGGCGTGCCGACAAGGCCAAAAGGCGCGCCTCGGTAAGCCCCCAGAGGCCCCCTCTTAGAGAGCCGAACAAATCATGCTCCCGGAAAGCTTCCCGGGAACATGATTCTTTATCTCGGAGTAGGCCCAGAGAGGGGGGGCGGGCCGCTGCCTGTTCCCCCCATCGGTGCCCACCAGGGGTTGCGGGGGGGGGTCAGAGCTCCCGAGGCGGCCCGAGCCCGCCCCGAAGCAGGCCACGACAGGCTAAGGGGGTCCCGAGAGGACCCAAGACGGTTTGGCGTTCTCGCTTTTCCCGCTTTCCAGCGCTCCCTCACGTCCTCGGAAGCCTTTCAGATCGCTCCAAGAAGGCCCACGAGGCACCGACGAGGGCCCCAAGACAGCCCAGGATGCCCCCCAGACAACCAAAGTGTGCCCCAAGAGCGCGCCAAGAGAAGGCCCAGAGGGGTCCCGAGGCGGCCCGGGCCCGCCCCGAAGAAGGCCACGACAGGCTGATGGAGGTCCCGAGAGGGCCCTATACGGTCCCAAGAGGCCCCGAAGACGCCCAAGCTGCCCTCAAGACGGCCGACGAGGACTCCAACACGCTCCAGGACGGACTCAAAAGGCTCCCCAAGAGGGCCCTGGGAGGCAACATTCACAAATTTTCTCACGGTTTTTGAAGGATTTAGGCGTTCTCGCTTTCCCCGCTTCCCAGCGCTCCCTCACGGCCTCGCTCGGAGGCCCTTCAGATCGCTCCAAGACGGGCCACGAGGCCCCGAAGAGGGCCCCAAGACGGCCCAGGAGGCTCCCCAGACAACCCAACTGTGCCCCAAGAGCTCCCCAAGAGAGGGCCTAGAGGGGGACCGCCAACCGATATTTCGAGGTCTCTGGCCCTAGAGGCCGCCTGTAGGCCCCCAGAGGCCACCAATGAGGCTCCCACGAAGCCTCGTGAGGCGCCCAAGAGGCCCCCATGAAGCCCCAAGAGACCCCCAAGGGGCTCCCAGGGAACGCCAAAAGAGGCCCCCCAACACACCCCAAGAAATCATGTCCCCAGAAAACCTTCTGGGGACATGGTTCATCATGGGCCCGAGAGTTCCCCGAGGCCCCCGGGCCCCCAGGGAACGCCCAAGAGACCCCCCAACACACACCAACAAACCATGTCCCCAGAAAGCCTTCCGGGGACATGGTTCATCATGGGCCCGCGAGTCTCCGGAGGCTTCGAAGTACCATCATGCTACAGGAGAGCTGTCTGGGAACTTGATTGGGAACATGACGGATCACCTTCTCGCGGCCCTCCGCAGATCGTTTCGCACAAAGTTGCCCCAAGTGCCCTCTTGAATTGACGACGACGACGAAACGAAACGACGAAGACGACGACGACGACGACGACGACGACGACGACGACGACGACGACGACGACGACGGCGCCGCGTTCCTGCCCTTGGACCCCTCTTGGGGCCCTGGTCGGGGAAGAAACAACGGCACGAACATATACTTTGGGCCCTCTTGGGACCCTCTTGGGGCCCTGGTCGGGGAAGATACAATGGCACGAACATAAACTTTTGGGTGCTCCGCGCGGATTTCTCGGATCCGCGCTGGGCCCCCCCCCGAGCCGCGCCTCCGGCGCCGCCCCTGGCGCGCTCCGCGCGCCAGGGAGGGGGGTCCAGCGCAGATCCAAGAAATCCGCGCGGAGCGCCAACAGTTTATGCTTGTGCCGTTTTTTCCCGAATCAGAGCTTGTCTCTGTAGGGGTCCTAGCGGATTCATATGGTTAGGTGAGGTTTGTCGCCGATTTCGCTGGCTGGCCCAGGTGCCCGGCTGCCCGGGGGTGCCCGGGTGCCCAGGGGTGACCAGATAGGTGCCACGGGGTGCCGGGAGGTGCCCGGGGGTGCCCGGGTGCCCAGTAGCCCTATTGCCTTATAGCCTTATAGCCTTATAGCCCTATAGCCCTATAGCCCTATAGCCCTATAGCCCTATAGCCCTATAACCCTATAGCCCTATGGCCCTATGGCCCTATAGCCTTATAGCTCTATAGGCCTATAGCCCTAGGGCCTAGAGCCCCAGAGCCTTATAGCCTTATAGCCCTATAGCCCTATAGCCCCATGTACAGAGCTAATATGATTATGATTGGGACTTCTCTCCGTTATCATTCTTATTCAAGTTCCCGCTGGACCCCTCTTGGGGCCTCGGGGGGGCCGTCCTGGGACTCTCTCTGGGGCCCCTTTGGGCCGTCGAGGACCTCCTGAAGACCGATACCGCCAGCACGAGAGAGCAGCAACAGTCGAATGCTTTGAAGTGATGCTAGCCTCATCGGCCGGCCCCCAGGGCTTCCAGGACGGCCCAAGATGCCCCCGATGGAGCCTCAAGGACGGGCCCGTGGGGGCCGTGTTGGGAGTTTGGATTCCGAACCGCGCTCCTGAGGCCTGTCGGGAGGTCCTGCGGCGATCTCGGAGCGCAAAGAGGCACACGAGAATTTGGGGGCGGAGCTCGTGGAAGAGACTAGCCGACGGAGGACTCGAAGGGGCATTGAGGACACACCCATTCGCGCCCAGCGGCACGGTGGCGGATCTGATGCAGCGGGACGCATTGCTGCTGCACCATGGCGGGCGGCAGTTTTACAATGCCATGCTGTGATATGGGATTCTTTGCACTGCGCCTGGTGAGCTCCTACCACCACACTGACAGCCTTGCGCTCGCGCCGACGGCCTCTGCAACGTCTGTGCACCAGCCTGCTCGAAACGACTCCCCCGTCTCGAGCCTATTGCAGCCGCGCGGTTCGCCGAGGGCGCGCCTGTGTGCGAACGCCGCGCCCAGCCCCGCATCGGCCAGGTGGGGGGCGCCATGGCGCCGGCCCCGAGCGCGGCATCGAGCAGCGAGGCCCGCGAGTTCTCCGTGCGCTGTCCCGTCCACGGCATGATATCGTTGCCCGCACTGCTCCGGCGCTTCATCGACCACCGCTGGTTCCAGCGCCTGCGCCACATCTCGAGGAACAAGAAGCCGCATGGGCATACCCTGTCGGAGGTCCGCGCGGATTTCTTGGATCGGCGCTGGACCCTCCTCCCCAGTGCGCGGAGTTCGCCAGGGGCGGTGCCAGAGGCGCCGCCAGGGAGGTCTCAGTGCCGATCCCAGAAGGTTGCGCAGACCTCCGAAAGTTTACGTTTATGCTGTTTTTGTGTTTCTCTGGCATCAGGCAGCTGTCCATGTCCTCGCACGTGTACCCGGGAGCGACGCACACCCGCTTCGTGCACAGCATCGGCACGGCCTACCTCAGCTACGAGATGGTGCGGCGCATCCAGAGGCGGCAGCCGGAGCTGGAGGTCGAGGAGAAGGACGTGTTATGCGTGGCGCTGGCGGGGCTCCTGCACGACATCGGGCACCCGATGTTCTCCCACATGTTCGAAAAGTTCGTGCATGCGGTGGCCTCAGACGAGAGCCTCACGGAGGAGCAGCGCAGCGGGTACATGCAGTGGGAGCACGAGCACGCCTCCATCGCCTTCGTGCGGCTGCTCTGGCGGGAGCCGGACATGCGGGCCGCCCTCGAGGTTGCTGGCCTCGGCGACCAGGAGCTCGAGTTCGTGTGCGCCCTGATCCACCCGCCAAAGAAGCAGCTCCTCGACGCCCTGGGCCGCGGCTGCCTCGGCGCCGAGTGGGCCTCGCTGGTGCCGTTCAGGCCGAAGGAGAAGAGCTGGATGTTCGAGGTCGTGTCGAACTGGAGGTGCGGCCTCGACGCGGACCGCTTCGACTACTTTCGGCGAGACGCACACGCGCTTGGCATCAAGAAGGAGTTTGACCACGGCCGCTACATGAACTCGGTGCGCGTGGTGTTCGACGCGGCTGGCGGGATCTGGACTCTGTCGCCGCCCGACAAGGATCGCGATTCCATACGCGACGATATGTTCGAGCTGCGCCGGTCCCTACACCGCACTGCGTACCAGCACAAGACCGTGCAGAAGATCGAGAAGCACATGATTGATATCCTGCTCAGCATGGAGCGCTGCGGCTTCTCGGTCGTCGGGAAGGGCGGCGCGAGGGTCAAGATGAGCCAGGCTGCAGTGGACTTCGACCCCGCGGCCTACAGCCAGCTGCTCGACTCGCTCGTGGAGCAGCGGCTCGTGGAGATCCAGGAGCCAGATGCCCCGCTCAGCCAGGCGTGCAGGGACTACGAGCAGCGAGTGTTGAAGCGGAATCTGTTTAGACTCGTGGCCGACTTCGATGTCCCGAGCAACATGGACTTTGCAAAGCAGGAGGACAAGATAATCGACAGGATGCTGAAGGTCTACGAAAGCCTGCACGCGTGCAACAAGATGCGGGACCTGCTCCAGGAGTTCCACGGTTCTGGCGCAAAAGCCGACAGCTTCGCAGAGGCCCACGTCCTCAGCCGCTCCATGTTCCGGTGCAACGTGGCGGAGTTCCACCAGGGCAGTGGGCGGGAGGACCCTCTGCGGAGGGTCGTCTTCCACTCGTCCAAGGATCCGAGCCGGGTCGGCAAGCTGCTGCGCGGCGAGCAGGAGGCGCCGCCCCTTTCCCAGAAGGTCTTCGTCTTCTTCGACGCCGGCACGGATCGGCAGGAGATCAAGTCCGCCCGGACCGACGGTCTTATGTCGAAGAAGAAAACCGCCACAAACATAAACGTTTGGCGCTCCGCGCGGATTTCTTGGAACCGCGTTGGGCCCCGCCCTGGCGGCGCCTGCGGCGCCGCCCCTGGCGCGCTCCGCTCGCCAGGGAGGGGAGTCCGGCGCGGATCCAAGAAGTCCGCGCGGAGCCCCGACAGTTAATGTTTATGGCAGTTTTCTTTCTTCTATGATGCGACAGCTGACGGCCGTCCTCAACAAGCACGTGTTCGCCGAGATTGACGAGGATCACCGAGCGCGTTCCACGATTCGCAAGCTAAGCTGCCTACTCGCAAACGACCGGACAACAGCGTGCCTTCCTTGACGTAGCGGATCGTGAACCCCTCGTGGCAGATGCAGGCCAGCTGCGAGTAGCTACTTTGCGAGTAGTGGAACGCGCTCGCCCAGAGGAGCTGCAGCGCGAGCGGCTGGCCGCGGCGGAGTGGCGCGCGTGCGCCACGCCGCTGCAGGCCCAGCGGGCCTCCGTGGAGCCGTCCAACCTGGAGCACACGCCGGCGGCGCCGGGACCGCGCAGCCCCTCGCGGAAGTCGGGGAACAGAATGCACAGGCACAATCCCACGACCCCCCCGCGCTGTGGCAAAAGAATCGCGACAGAAGGTTTGTTGCTATTTTTAGCCTCGGGGGGTCCTCTTCGGGCGTCCGAAAACGACTCAGGGTGAGAACCTGGTCCCGTGGCAGGGGTCCAGACCTTTGGGGGTCGGCGTTGCGAAACATCACGACGTCGTGGGTCTGGGATGTCTCGGAGGTCTGCACGGATCTCTGGTATCGGCGCTGGGCCCTCCCTGCGGCGCCTCGGGCGCCGCCCCTGGCGCGTGGGGGCCAGCGACAATCCAAGAGATCCGCGCGGCCCTCCGATGCATGATGCTTCTGCCGTCCTCTTGGTTCCTCCAGGAAGAAGAGACGGACGCTGTATGCGCACAACTCGCTGGACTAGCCCTCGGCTCCCCGCGCGGGGCTTGTTTTTCGATCTGGTGGCCAGGAGGGCCAGGCTGCGGGGCCGGCCCAGCACTGCCATTCTACCCCTGCCCCCCCTCGCCCCTTCTCATTTTCCAGAGGAGAACCGAGACCACCGCCGCCGAGAACCCATCGGAGGGGGGCGACCCAGTGGGCGGTGGCACACGCGAGCGTCACTCAGTGCCAGACGGTGCTCAGGCGTGCCACCGCCCAGGGGTCGCCCCCCCCCCCCCCCCCGATGGGTTCTCGGTGGGGATGGACCCTGTTTCTCCTCTGCAGTTTGGGGTAGGCCTAGGATGAGGATGACTCGTTCCCAGAGCGTTCAGGAAGGCTCCCAAGAGCGTTCCACGGCGCTCTGGAGCGGCTGCAGCGCCCGATACCTTTTTTTGGACCGGATGGCTACATGTGGCTTCCATCGACGAAGAAAAAAAGGCCATAAACATGTTTGTTTGGCGCTCCGAGCGGGTTTCTCGGATCTACGCTGTACCCCCCTCCCTGACGCGCGGAGCGCGCCAGCGGCGGCGACGGAGGCGCCGCCGGGGGGGGCCCAGCGCGGACCCAAGAAGTTCGCGCGGAGCGCCAAAAGTTTGTGTTTATGGCGTTTTTCCGAATCCCGGTATTCCAGTCACTCGCTGGTTGCTGAAAGTATGTATCCGGTTGCCTGCAGCAAGTCCTGCCAGCGTGCCAGCGCAGCCATCGGTGTGACGGCGCTTCGAACACCGAAGGCTGTAACATTTGATACCATCGCTTCTATTCCCTTGGGGTGATCGCACGGGGGCTGCCTGGGCCGTTTTGGGGCTGCCTTGACCTCTTGGGGCCCTTTGGGACCGTCTTGTTGTGGAAGACGATCAATGGAGAGGAGGCGTGTCGCCAAATACTTCCCAGATGTCTACAGCATGTTCACAACATATGTTCCCAGAGTGATAAAACATGCTTCGATCATGTTTCGGGCATGTTTGAAGCATGTCGAAGACATGTAAAAAAACAGTGTTCATTCAATGACAGAACGGTTAGAGTGTCAATTGTCAAGATGTCCACAACCGTCTTGGTGCTGTCATGCACCGTCTTGTGGAGCTTCTCGGCCGTCTGGGAAGTCGCTTGGGGGCCTCTTGGGGCTATCCTGAGGCCCTCGTGGGCAATCTTCTGGCCCTCTTGGGGCAGTCATGGGCCCCTCTTGGGCCGTCGTGGGGCCCTCTAGGGAGACTCCTGAGTCGTCGTGGGCCCCTTCTAGCCCTCTTGGGCCGTCGTGGGTCGTCTGGGGGAATCTGATTCGGCTATGTTGGCTTCTCTTTGGCTACTCCAAGGCCCTCTCGGAAAATTCGCGAGCCGAGAGGATCAGGAGACAACAGATCCACTGTCATTCTGATGTGTGTTTCAAGCGCTTTGAATGATTGAAGCCTTCGTGGAGGGCTTCCTGACATTCTGGCCTTCTGGCGTGTGCAAAACGCACGGCCAGCACGCGCGGCATTGTGAAGTCCTCGTGCTTGCACCAGTGCAATCCAGCGGAGGCGCCGCTTCACTGCTGGAGCTGGCTCGGAATCCTGCGGCGTGCTCTTGGCTCTGCTGTGATGGATGAGGAAAAGAAAGAGGGCCTCCTGGCCTTCTCTTGGATGTTTTGTAAGTCTCCTGGGAGCCCTCTGGCGCCTTTGGGGGCCTTCTTGGGAGCTGTTGGGTGCCTCTTGGGGGAACGTTGGGCCGTCCTGGCGGCCTTGGTGGCGTTTCTGCGGCGGCTGTGAAGACTTGGAGAGCCACGAGGAAGCATCGAGCAGCCGAGCGAGTCTCCGGAGGGGGATGAGATGCACGCAGCTGGCGGTGACAAGAGGGGGAGGGCCCGAAAGGCTAACAGAAACCGTGACCCGACAACCCTTGGCATTACGCCACGTCCCAAAGGGCCACGAGCGCGGTGGCGGATTCTGGCCCAAAACCTTACACTTACAACATACAAATGAGCACATCTGGGAACGCATCGCGAATCGGCGGGCCAAACCCAAGATCTCTTGAACGCCTTTGTGTGTTTGCTCTGCCCTCGTCTCGTCCTCCTCCTCCCGGCGCCTCTGCGCAGAGACGCCCGCACGGTCCTCCACGCCGACGGATCGACAAGGTGCTCTTGTGAAGGGGCTCCAGTGCCGTTTTTTATACATGCTCCGCGTGCGGATCATGTATTAAAAACGCAGGGATGTTGTGCTAACAACGACGGTGAGTTCGTGCATAAATCCACTCCTCAATTAGCCATGGATTAAAAGTCCTATATTAAAAAAAAAATCCTACTTATTAAAAACTGCCCTGTACGGCCCCACCGCCGTCCGACGCAGCAGACGCTCCCCGCTCGAGCGCGGAGCGGTGTCGGCGCCCGTCCCGCCCCGTCTTCCCCGCTCGCCTGCTCGCGCGCGGCGTGGCGAGTCCCGCGTCGGCGGCGTGTGCTGCGCAGTCGGCCGACTGCGCACCGGTCTGCCTCGCTGCGCCGAAGGGCGGCGCCGAAAAGAGGCCACGGTGATGTCGGGCCTGTCCCCCTACAGGGGGATTTTCGACGAGAAATAAAAAATACCCCCTAAATGCCCCAAAAAGATCGAAAATGTTCCACAAATGGTCCCCAGACTATGTTTGGACTATGTTTTTTGTATCTTTTATGTTTCGTCGAAAATCCCCCTGCAGGGGGACAGGCCCGACTCAAAGCCACGGCCGATCGGATCACAGAAGCCAGCCTCCGGCGTTGAGATCCTCTCAGCTCAAGGGGGGGCCCAGGCTCGGCTATACACTTGAGTCGGGCTCGAGGTATTTTTGGAGTATTTTTACATGTTCGCCCAAAATCCCCCTGTAGGGGGACAGGCCCGACTTAAGGCTACACGTAAGCGTGACGTTTTGTTGGAGCGACCTTTGGTGAGGGCACACTGGGGCCCCCAGAAGGCTCAACGCGATGCGACAGCAGCGGCTTGCGCGCTGCGGTTCGGCCTCCCCGCGGCCCCCGAAAGTCGCGCTCCAAAGGTCACTCTTGCCTAATCAGGGTCGCTTTTACGTGTAGCTGCTCCAGGTCGATCCGATGAATGCGGCAAGCGGGAGTTCCACGGGCACGGCTTCGACGACTGCGGCGACGACGACGACGACGACGACTGCGAGGACGCCGCAGTGAGTGCAAAGAAAACCGGGTGAGCTCCCAGGCCCAGTCTTTTCCCAGGGTTGCCTTCTGCGCCTGTTCGGCACCCGAGCGATCTGGTCCGTTCTACAGCCAAGGCCAGGCGTCCGAAGAAGATCCCAGGAGCCCCAGAATGCCCAGGTCTGCCCGAGATGTCGTCGGTGAGGCAGGGGTCCGGGGCTCAGAAGTGCATCGGTCCAGTTGTTCATGCATCCCCCCTCCCAGCTCCCAGGAAGAAAGACTTTGCTCTCGCCACGGCGCCGCGCAGATTTCGCTCGAAAGTGGCGCTCCCACCTCCGCGCGGCCCATCTTTGCCGGCCGCCAAGTTTTGATGCCCCGCGCGAGCGGCCGCCTGGTCGCCCTCCCCCGAGCTACGGGCACATTGGGCTTGGAAGTGGCGTGCCTGCGCGGGCGCGGCGCCTGTTTCGTGCGCCGAAGCGCATGGCAGCGGCCCTGGCGGCGGGGCCGCGCGAGAGTGGGCGCCCCCAGCGCCGCGCAGTTTGTGCGTGAGCGTGGCGGTGCCGCGTCGGTGCGGCGTGACCGTGGCAGTGCTCTCCGCCCAGGGCCGACGGCCCATTGGGAGAGTGTTGCACTTGCCGCGCCCGCACAGGGTCTCCAAGGCTGATCGGCTGCATCGGTGTCGGTTCGGTTTCGGCCCTCCCGCGGTTTTAAGAGTTCCCAGGCAGCGGTATAGGGCTTGAGTGGGAAGGTGTGGGGCTTCCGCGCGGAGCCATCTCCTCGTCGCCTCTTCGTCATCCTCGCTTCCTTCAGCCTCCTCACGAAGAGGAAGAGGAGTGGGAGGAGGAAGAGGAGGAGGAGATGGGAGGAGGACAGGGAGGTGGAGGATGGCGCTGGTAAGCAATACACAAGCACAAGGATTAACTGAAACACACAGAAACTGAAGTGATGGTGGCAGAAACTTTAAGAACATCATTGGACCAACGCAAAAAAAAAAACAACCCGAACCTCCTAAAACGTGTGGCCCTCACTACACTTCCGACTACCGCGTATATCGCATATCTTAATACAAGTCCTACTGCAGTTTCGCGTCGCAGCGAAACGTAAGGCCCCCGAGGCAGCTCCCACTGCAGCGGCTCCTAACGCAGGCCGTACTACAGCTCCTTTACAGCCAGTAGTACAGTCCCCTCACAGCTTCTCCTTCTACATCTCTCACCAGGGCTCCGGCTAGAACTCCTACAACAGCTTATCATGGGTCTTACAGCAGTTCCTACTACAGACACGCGCATAGCTTTTATGACAAGTCATACTACAGGTCCTACTAGACTTGATGGCACACCCTATTACGTAGCCTAGTGCAGCTCGTACTGTCCTTCTAAGTGCAGCCCGTAGCGCAGGTTCATCTGATGTTCCGACCGACGTGTCTACTACACGTCAAGTTGCCAACCGTCGTACATATCTCAATCCAATTCTCAAGGCATGTTCCAGTACAGTTCTTATTCTAGTTTCTAGTTCCCAGTGCAGTACAGCTCCTATTGCAACGCATCCTACACTTGCCGTTGCAGGTCCTCGTACAATGCATGCTGCATATCGAAATACAGCTCCTACTGCAGTTCGATGGCACAGCCACTAGCACAGCTCCCGTTACACCCTCTACCATAACCAGTCCTAGTCGTACAGCTCTCACTACAGCTCTTACTACTGCCCCCCACTGCAGCTCCTGAACCAGGCCATATTGCAGTTCTTAATGCAGGCAGCACTACAACTATCACAGCTGCTCCCTGACAGTCCTTACTACAACTCCGATTACAATACCTGCAACAGCTCCTTCCACGGCTCCCACTGCAGCTCCATACAGCAGTTCCCACTCCAGCAGCTCGCACAGCCATTACTACAAATCTTGCTACAATTGCTACGATAGGTGATGGCGCCACTAGACGTCAGTAGTACAGCTTTCACTACAGCTTCATACTACAATGTATATTACTTATCTCACTACAGGTCCTCTTACAGTTCCCGACACAGGTTTCTAGTACAGATCACATTGCAGTCCCTGCTCACATCGGTAGCGTGGCTCCCACTACTATTGCCCCTTTTTATGAAAAGGTACTATTGCAGGTGGTACCGCACCTTGTACTACGGCCAGTAGCACAGCCCTCCTCGCATCTCTTTCTACAGGCGAGTGAGGAGGATACTGTAGGAGCTAAGATACAAGCCAAGGAAGGGAGAGGGAGGGTTAAGTCTGCAGAAGCAAGCCATCATCACGGTCGAAGTGCAGCGCGCATGTTCGAGAGCGTTGTGTCATCACCGCCGCCGCCGTCGTCGTCATCCTCCTCCTCCTTCTCCTCTTCCTCCCACTTGGCTTCCATTTCCAGGGCGGAATCCATGAACACCCAAACAGAACAGATACAATCACGAATCAACCTTCGGGAACTCTCTGAAGGGCGTCCGGGGGGACGAGGCACAAAGCTCCCCAGGATGGCATCTCCTTCTGTTTTTGTCATGCCCTGTGGTTTTCGTGGATTCCGCCCCGAGAAGGGGAGACCGACTGAAAGGAGGAGGATGAGGACGGAGGAGGAAGATGGGGAGAGGCCGCAGGAGAGAGGATGGAAGACGGGAGCCCCAGGATGGCCAGGAGATGGTTCCGCGCGGGAGCCCCCCGCCGTCATCCCCTTCAAATTCCCGGAAGGTTTCCTGGGGTGTCCCATCGCGGGGGTCCGAAACCGAGCTGGGGCCAGGACATCGTCATCGCGGGGGGCCAGAACCGAAGCGAAGATGGTTGCATCTGTGTTTCTCGATCGGGACGCTTCGGTCATTCAAGGCGGTGCTCTCGCTGCAGCGTTGGCCACGTCGTTCAGGGTCGATGTCTTGCCCCAGCGTGGGGCTCATTTATGGATCCGATTTCTTGTTCGTTGTTTCCGTCCTCCTACCCCATGCTCCGCCTCCCTGCTCCTCATGGTTCTCCTGTTTCCTCCAATGTGCACAGCCAACGCCGACTGTGCATCAGACGATGGATCAAATCCTGCAAGCGCCAGTCGGGGGTCAAGGTCTGGTTGGGCACTCCAGCCAGCGGGTAGGAAAGGGTTCAACGCAATGGGAATGGAAGTGGGGCAGGGGTAGGATGTAGTCAGAAGTGGCACGAGCGCACCTAGCCTCCTCGTCCTTGTGACGTTGCACGGACTTAGGCACATCATCAGTGTTACTTCAATAGGGACCGAGTTAGGGTGTTTCTGGCTGCGCCGTCGTCGGTTTCCTTTCTGCCGAAGGGACCAAGGGGTCCGGCGGCCGTGCCGTCGTCGGAATTCCCAACCCCTCCTTCTCGTTGGAACGCGTGACTGTCTTGAGTTCCCCGTGATTTAGGCACCTAGGGGCTGAAGCGTTGAAGTGTTATTGCTGCAAGAAGCAACTTACACATCCGACTTTGGCCATGTAGATGTTGAACCAAATATTTCGAGTGCACGCCGCTGGGGAGAAGGTGGGCAACGACATCCTCTTCCGCCTCCTCCTCCTCCTCCTCCTCCTCCTCCTCCTCCTCACATCCCCCCTTCTCCCCCTCACCCTCCCCCCTTTAGAGTCGACGTTGCGAACAATATTGCAACATAGCGAAAATTTCGACCAGAGCCCTCGACACCATCTTTCTGCCGAGTATTTCTATCGGATCAATCTGTGATGGCCCCGGGGCGCGCAATCGGGCGACAACGCCTGGCACGACAAATTGAGACGCATGGATCTCAGGGTCGTCCTCCCGAGTCGCGAGCCTTCCTCCCCCTCCCCGTCTTCCTATCCCTCCCCTTCTTCCTCCCCATCCTCCCCCTCCTCCTCCTCCTCTTCCTCCTCTTCCTCCTCCTCCCTCTCCCCCTTCCCCTCCTCCTCCCTCTCCCCTTTCCCCTCCTCCTCCCTCTCCCCCTCCCTCTCCTCCTCCCCCTCCCCCGCCCCTTCCTCCCTCTCCCTGGCCACTGGCCGGCACGGGCAGCGGCCGCTCCCGGCCCCTCGTCACCGAGAGGCCATCGCCAGGCTGATGACCACCAGCGAGGTGCTGCAGGAGCTGAAGCTGTCGGGCAACCGCCTCGAGCAGAGGGGCGCGCCCGCCGTAGGCGCTCTCCGAGCCCCGAGGGGTCGTCGCCGCCGTGGCCGCTGGTCTCGGCATCACCCGAGCAGAGGGGGGGCACCTCGACTCGCCTCAACTCACCCCGATTCTCGTGCGACGCCCCACCTCAACTCACCCCCGGCGGAGGTGGTCCTCCCCGGCGACGACGACGACGAGGGGGACGACGACGACGACGACGACGACGACGACGACGACGACGACGACGACGACGACGACGACGACGACGACGACGACGACGACGACGACGACGACGACGACGACGACGACGACGACGACGACGAGGGGGAGGACCCCCGCCGAGCACCGCCCGCCCCGGGAGTCTCGCGGGGGCCCTGCGGCGCGCTTGGGGCCCCAGGCTTCCGCTGCAGGGATGGGGGGGTAGGGCTGTGCACGGGCACTGCACAAGGGGTGAGGTGGTGGCAGCGGGCCTGAAGCACGTGTGGAGCCTTGGGGGGGTACTTCTGCTCTGCGCGAGTCGGCCTCCAGGGGGCGGGCGACGCGCGCGCTCGGGAGTCTTCTCGTGCATGGTCCGTGGCGGGCGCCCTGCAAGACGTGTGTGTGTGTGTGTGTGTGTGTGTGCTACATGCTCCGTCAGGACGTGCGCCTCCAGAGGGGGAGCGCATAGCATCGGGAGGCTGGACGCACATCTGTGGGCCGGGCCCAGTTGTGCTGCACGCGTTGGGCTTCCAGGCCGCGCCGAACTTGGAAAAGGGTGGTGCGCGTTTGGGGGGCTACCGTGAGGCCTTTGTTGTCTCTTTGTGGTCGGGACATGGGCTCCTTTTAACATATTTGTTTGCAGGCCCACGCGAGCGCGATGTTCCCTACAATCTCCCATCTGTCCGCTGGGAGTCCAGCCCTGAGTATGTCCAGTATCCTCGTACTTGATTCACAAACGACGCGCGCCCATACCCATAGATGGGACTGTGGGGGGGGGGGCTATGGGTGCGTGTTGTCGGACGGGGGCCCCCGCTCACGTGGGAGCTTCCCTCGGGGTCCGACAGCCCGCACCCATACCCATAGCCAGTCCTCCTCCCGCCGACCCTCCTATGGGTATGGGTGTGTGTATGTGTAGCTCGCTCGGCAGCACTTGCGTGTCATTCTGCGCCCCAGCGGTATCGGCATCCCCGTCCCCCCCCTCGTCCCCCCGAGCTCCTCTGCCTGCGCTCGCGCCCTCGCCCTCTGCGTGTTTGCGCCCTGCTCTCCCAGAGCCTGCCTCTCTGGGGGGCAGGCCACTCCAGTTTCCTGCCTCCTCCCTCTCCTCTTCCTTCGTCCCTCGTTCCTCCAATCTTGGCACCTTCCTCGTCCTCCTCCTCCTCCTCCTCCTCCTCCTCCTCCTCCTTCTCTGTTTCATCGTCATCATCAGCATCAGCATCATCATCATCATCATCATCATCATCATCATCATCATCATCATCATCCTCATCCTCATCCTCATCCTCATCCTCATCCTCATCCTCATCCTCATCCTCACCATCACCATCACCATCACCATCACCATCACCATCACTAGCATCCTCCTCATTATCATCAGCAGCAGCATCAGCATCCTCTTCATCATCATCAGCATTAGCATCAGCATAATCATCATCAGCAGCATCAGCATCGTGTTCATCATCATCAGCAGCATGATCACCATCATCACCATCAGTAGCATCATCAGCAGCATCATCATTATTATTCTCCGTATCCTCCTCGTCGTCGTCGCCAATCTCCTGCATGTTCTCCCTCTCATCCCTCGACGTTTTGCCTCGTGCTCCCCCCCTCCCTCTTCGCCATGGAACTGTCACGAATCCTCATGTCTTGGCGATCTGCCCACGCCTGCTCCCCCGCCCCCCTCCCTGGTCACCACGGCTCTCACATTGTCCCTCGTCCCCATTGACAGGCCCAAGAGTTTTTCATTCTGAGCCCACTCAGCGTCCATGCGCATCTGGCCGCCGAGTGGACCTGAGATCAGTCCCATTCGGCTGCCGAACGCGCCAAATACACACTGCTCATTTGGGATCGAGCCTGTTCGGCGGCCGGTTGGGCTCTGACAGCGAAGGGTCTCAGATGGCAACTTTGGGACTTTGGGGAAGGGAGACGGATGAGGCCTGGAAAGGTCAGGGACAACGACAGGGGGGATAGGCAGAGGGGGAATGCATCGACCCCCAATCGTCCATTGATGGCCGATAGGGGCCCGATAGCCCCAACATGCCCAGGAGCGTACGGATTCATTATCGGGGGCTTATCGCTGATCTGTCGGCGATGTATCGCCGATTCCAGGTCGATGTGTCCCCCCCCTGAGCCAGTCTCTTCTCATCGTTACTCCTCACTTGCGTTATCTTCTTCCTGGCATCGTCTTGAATCGAGGATGGAGGCCTGTGATGGCTTGTGGTCGTGCCTGACACTTTGTTGGCCCTCTGGAGGCCTCACGTCTGCGCGTTGTGAAACAGTGACAACGGGCGTGTTCGCCCCGTGTTGGGCCCAGGACTTCCGTGTGTCGACCCGGCTCGAGGTTCCCATCGGCTTCCTGACATTGGGTTTCTGATCCAAGGGCTCCTCATCCATTGCCCTCAACGTGTACCATGACTATGCGCCGCATCCTTCAGTGTTGGGATGCAACTCCTGGGAGGTCAAATTCTGATTTTGCACTGGTCCGAAGTCCGGTTTAATACGGTTTATTCCCGCTTAATCCCGCGCAATCCGGCTTAGTCCCGCTTAATCCGAGGCCCACTCCGGCGTAATAGCTCCCAAATGGGGCTTAATCTTCCTTAATCTTTCCGACGAAAACCTCCCAGTAGTTGCCTCCTAATCAGTGTATACGGTCGAGAACTTTGGCTCAGCGTGTCGCACCGCCGGTCCTGGCCCACCGAGCTTCGGCTCGACACGCTATCCTCGCCGGTGTCCCCGCACATCGACGTCCCGAGCCTCTCCGATCCTCCCGCCAGGCGGAGCGGAGCGACACGCCATCCCTTGGCAGGGCGCAGCGCAAAGCTGGGGCCGCCGCTGCGACACGCTAGGCTTAAGTCGGGCCTGTCCCTCTACAGGAGGAATATTCAAAAACAGTCAAAAAATACCCTGGGGACGATTTTGGGGGCATTTCGTAACCATTTTGGAGCATTTTGGGGGGATCTTTGATTCTTCGTTCAAAATCCCCCCTGAAGGGGGACATGCCTGCCTTGACGCTGGGCAGAGGTTTTGCGACCGCGTTCACGCGGCCGCCATCCCCTGGCGGAGGCAGGGCTCCGTTGACTCCTCCGAGTCCGCTTTTTTCGAAGGATTGCAAAAAAACCAGGATTGCAAAAAAAACCCTCGAACGAAGGATTGCAATCCTTCGATTCCCATCGATTCCGACTCTCATTCGGCTCGATCTCGGATGCCGCTCCGCGCTCCGCTCCGGGCCGCTCGGCCTGCCGATCTCCGCCGAGTCGACTCCGCCCGACTCGGCCGCCGAGCTCCGCCGATCCGATGCGTCTCGATCGCCGCTCCGATTTGATTCAGGAGGGGAACAAAACACACAGACACAATGAATCGTCGATTCCCCAGGAAATATGGGAAAATATGGGCAGTGGGGGGGAAGACAGAAACCCAGAAAATATGGAAAAATATGGGGGATCCTTCTATTTGCGTGTATTTATTTGTGTGTCCCAGGGCCCGTTCATGGATGATTCTCGAAGAAGAGGAACGGCACAAACACACGAACTCTTGGCGCTCCGCGTGGATCTCTTGGCGCTCCGCGCTCCGGAGCGCCAAGAGTGCACGTTTATGCTCAAGTCGGGCTGTCCTCTACAGGGGGGAATAGTCAAAAGGAGTTACAAAATAGTCTGGGGATTATGTTCTGATACGTTTGGGGGCCATTTGGGACTATTCTTGGAGTAATTTTTTGGTTGTTCGTCGAAGATCCCCCTGGAGGTGGACACGCCCGACTTCAGTGTATGTCTATGCCGGTGTCCCTGACTCCAGATCCGCCCTACTTTGGGGAAATTCGTAAGTAGGGCTTGGAATTTCCGCCTTACTTTTCAAGCCCCGCTGATGCAAATTTCCGCCCTACTTTTCTGTTGTTGTTTCCGCCCTACTTCTGCGGATTTTCGCCCCATTTTATGTTGGGTGCAGAAATTTCCGCCCTACTTTTTCGGCTCCTTATAAGTGGATTTCCGACGCAATTTTGAGTTGGAAAAAAGCCGAAGTAGGGCGGATCTGGAGTCAGGGTTCCTTCCTGCAGATGCGACGCCGGGCCCTCCCGGCGGAGGCCGCGCCATCGAGCAGAGCGCGCTGCTGGTGCTCAAGCTCGAGGAGGGCCTGCGCGGGCGCGGCGCCGCGCCCCGAATCATCAGGGGTAACTCGGGTCAGGGCTGACTCGGGTTCCTTTTTCGGGAATCCAAGCCCGAGTTACAACGGGCCCGAGTTACCCCGGATAACTCGGGCGTCCAGAGCCCCACATCATCAGGGGTAACTCGGGTCAGGGCTAACTCGGGTTCCTTTGTCGGGAATCCAAGCCCGAGTTACCCCGGACCCGAGTTACCCCGGATATCTCGGGCGCCCAAGTCAGGTTTAAGTCGGGCCTGTCCCTCTACGGGGGGAGTGTTCAAAAATAGTCAAGAAATCATCTGGGGACTATGTGTGGGGTATGTTTTGGGGCATCTTTTTGAGTATTTGTTTGAGTCTTTTTGTGCACTTGTCGTCCAAAGTCCCCCTGTAGGGGGACACGCCCGACGTAAAGTCAGGTCGGGAGGAATGTCCAGAAATAGTCAAACAGAATAGTCTGGAGACGATGTTTCCATCCTTTTAAAGAAGATTTGTTTGACATGTTTGAGCTATTTTCGATCTGTCGTCCAAAATCCGCATGTAGGGGACATGTCCGACCTGAGGCTACAGCCAAGGCGCTGGAATCCCGGCCCTCTCAGCAACATGGAGGTGATGGACGCGGAGGTCCCCCTGTTGTGGCACAGCCGGGCCGAGGCACAAGATGGGTGTCGGTTCGGAGAGGGTACTTTTCTGTTCTTCGGGCTCGTCGGAGGTTTTTGTTTGTGCATCTTGGGGGTGTGCCCTTGGAGGCTCTGCTTGTTTTGTTGGCAGAGTGGTAGTCTCATGTGCTTGAGGGATGTTTTTCTGGCCTAGGTCCAGAGTCATGGGTGCCTCGTGCACCCTCGCGGTTCCGTCTTCAGGGTGCACTGGCGTCGACTAGCTCCTGGTAGTCGACGAGATAGCGCCGAATGAGCGTCGATTCGCCTCGATTCAGCGTCGATCTGCGTCGATCCGCAAAAGCTAACAAGATGGTATGTGAGGTTCCCATGAGTTCTGGTGTGAGAGCAAGTTCGCGTGAACGAGAGGACGACGAGTACGACAACAACGACGACGAGTACGACGACGACGACGACGACAACGACGACGACGACGACGACGAGAACGAGTACGCCGAGACCGACGAGTACGACGAGTACGAATACGACGAGCACGACGAGGACAACCACGGCGACGATGGCGACGACGACGGCGATGGCGACGGCTACGACGAGGGACAGGGACGACGACAACTCGCAGACAGGCTGTAAGCTGACCCCCTCCCCTCTCCTTCCTCCTACAACTCGTCGTACCCTCCCTTCCCTTCCTCCATCCTCCCTTCTCCCTCTTCCTGCGTCCTGCTCCTGCTCCTCCTCCTCCTCCTCCTCCTCGTCAACCTCCTCCTCCTCCTCCTCCTCCTCCTCCTCCTCGTCAACCTCCTCTTCCTCCTCCAACCCCCTCCGTCCTGTCGGCCGTCCTTCTCCCGACATGGACGTGGTCCTGGGGCTCAGCACCCCTGTGCGGCGCTGCCGGTGTCGCTCCCCCCCTCCCCCTGGCGCGCGAAGCGCCAGTCAGGAGAGGCCAAGGTCACACCGAGGAAGTCTCTACGACGATCGAGCACTCCGTGTGGACCTACTCCGCACGGGCGTAGCATCCTATGCGGCGAGGCCGAGTCCAGACGGAGTAAGCCCAGGCGGAGACCGAGCACGCCGCATGGACGTCTTCCGCATGGACTCGGCCTCTCCTGAGCCAGGAGGTCATGGGTTCGGCGGCGAAGGAGAGGATCGCCCGCGGACGTCCGATCGATTGTCGGGGGGCCCCCGGGCGGTGTGATGACCACACCGCGTGGGGAGTCCGTGGGGCCTCGGGGGCACCGCGCGGTCTTGGGGTCCGGGTCGCTCTCGGAGGGTGCCTCGGGCGACCGCTTCCAGGGCCTCGAGCTCGTGCGGTGGCGGAGCGCGCGGTGAGGTCGCTGAGCGGGGAGTCCGAGGTCGCCACGCGCTCCGGCACCCCACGGCTCTGGGGCCCCGAGAGCGCGGTGGTGCGCGCGCGGGCCTCCAGGCGCGACGTCGGCGCGGCTCTCGCCGGGGCGCGTGGCGGGGAACCCGAGGGCCTGGGGCCCACTGCCGGGGCGGCGCAGCTGGCCGACGCGGACGCGTCCCCCCAACGCGCCGACCGACCACGGTACCCCCCTGCGCGATTTCGGCCGGCAGAGATGTCGGCCGGCGCCCCATGTGTTCGCGCGTTGGCGCTCTTCCCTCGGCCGGCGCGCACGGCCCCTGCGCATTGCCGCCGGCGCAAAAAGTTCGCGTGCTTGCTGTGCTCGTTGATCCGGAGGGCAGCTGCTCGAAGCGGGGCACGCTGCCAGAGAGGGTAATCGGGTTATATACCAGGAGCGTCTGTTACCCCAGAAGCGTGCGGCCAGGGACAAGTCGTCCCAGAGGCGCAAACTCCCCCATCTTGTGCCTTCTTTGATTCCACATCGGCACATCGGACCACCAGGCGCGTCGGCAGCCTGGGCCTGGTGTTTCGATTGTGAGTTCCCCACCAGGTATGCTTGTGAATCTAGCCCCGCAGCTACACGGATGGAGGGCGAATCGAATTCGAATATGGCGTTTGTTTGAATGACGCTCTCATTTGCCAACACATTGCACATGTTTCACATTTTTCAGATGGATCAGTTGTTCACGGATGTGGCGATGGCTCGTTTGCCGAATTTGAATATTTCATTGTGATGATCATAAGATGAGTGTTACCATGGCCAGTAGTGTAAGAAATTGCAAACGTCTCGCACGAAGAGCGTCGTTTTGTTTGTTTTAGCCAGATATTGATTCAACGAGTCCCCAAACAGTGTTTGCTCTTAGGGGTTCGTGCTTCTGAAACAAGGAACTTTGAAGTTGTTGGTCTGGCGGCTATGTTGTCGCCGCCGCAGCCGCGCCGCCGCCTCGTTGCTGCCCGTCGTCTAGGCCTGATTGTCGGTCTGGCGTCTTTGTTGTCGCCGTTTCCGCCCCGTCGCCGCCCGTCGTCTGGGCACAGTTGTTGGTCGCTGCGCTTGTTGTCGCCGTTGACGCCCCGTCTCCGCTTCGTCGCCGCCCGTCGTCTGGACCTGGTTGTCGGTCGCCGCGCTTGTTGTCGCTGTTGCCGCCCCGTCGCCGCCCGCTTGCATTGCAGTGAGCCGTTTTTCATTGTTGGTCACTGCTTCGCATTGCGTTGCATTGCATTGCCTTGATTTGCGTCGCGTTGCTTTGCACAGCATCGATTGTACCACATATCCGCACAACAAATATTGCACAGCATGGATCACGCCACATGGATTGCATCGCATATTTTGAACGACCTACATTTCCAGGCACAGAGGTGTTTCCTCTGGGAGTTCAGGTATGACAGCACCAATGGATTCGATTGGATCCTCTGGGTGTGCAGCAGTGTCGTGGATAATCTCTGTGCTGCGCGGATCGAATTTCCCGTGTGTGGAAAACTAATGGATCCATTCATTCTCGAAAATATGATCATACTTGTTCCCCTGGAGCCGCAGGAAATTGGATCCACGGAGCCCTGCACGTGAGAAATCATGCCATCCACGGAGCTGTGGCTCTGCAGAGCAATAATACGATGATTCCACGGGGGAAGGAAATCCTCCTGCGGGTGAAGAGAGGGGAAGGGGGAGGAGGCACGGGGAGGGAACAGGAGGAGAATTGGGGGACGGAGGTGGGAGGGGGATACAGGAGGACAAACGAGGGAGGAGTGGGAGGGAGGAGGGAAGAGGTGGTGGAGGAGGAGGAGGAGAAGGAGGAGGAGGATGAAGGGGGGAGGCGGAGGGAGGAGGCAGGAAGGGGGGGAAAAAGCGGGGGTAGGGAAGGGAAGGAGGACCAGAGGAAAGAGGAAAAAGAGGAGGAGGAGGAGGAGGAGGGAGGAGGTGGAGGACGAAGACAAGCAAAGTGCCAAGGTCGGAAGCTCGAGCGCCACAGCGGGCTCAGCCACCTACCCTTTTCGCTCCCATAACATGCGTGTGCTCGAGCGCCGCATCGGGCCTGACCATCACACAAGCTCTTCCCATAACTCACGGTTGCTCGAACGCCACAGCGGGGCCGGCCAATTCCCGCATCTCCTCCCATAACATGTGGCACGCCCCGATTCGAAGCGAGCGCAACACAAATCCGCTCACTTGAACGGCACGGCACTTCCGACGTCCTCCGCTCAAGAGAAAAATCGCTTGACCCGCGTAGGTATATCGCACCGTACAGAAACACAACATATATTGTTCAACATAAAGCTCATTACACAGATAGTTAGAAACACTGTTTGGGGTCCGCGCTGGATACATCACAGTACCCCCGAGACGTAACTGCCATACAAAGAAGGGTAGCCCGCGCATCCTTTTGTAAACGGGGTTCCCATTTGAACGGCAGGCGTCCGTGGCTCTCGCTTGGGAGCTCTCGTCTTTAAAGGGGTTGCTTGCCGAAGTGAAGAGGCTTGAGGAGGGAGCTTCGGACGGGAGTGTGTACAGCCTGGGCGCTGAAGAAGGAACCCTTTTCGTTGGGGAGGGTCTCGGTGTTCTTTAATCGTTCGGTGGGTAGGTTGTGCTTAAGTGTTCGATGGGACATCGAAGTTTAATTTCTGGAGAAAAAGAGCCTCGTTCCTTATTTAGGGTTCCTTGGGCCAACGCCCCGACTGGATTGCAGCATCGTTGATGCATCCTTGGTCTACATGGTCTGGTCCTCCCTTCCATTCCTCCCCAATCCCCTCCCTCCTCCCTCGCCGCCCCTCCCGCCCGCCCACCCACCGCGAGCAGGGGGAGGAGGAGGAACGGGGCCGAGGAGGGGGAAGAGGAGTCGGGGAGAAGAGGAGGGGAAGAGGAGTCGAGGAGGGGAGAGCGGGGAGAAGGAGGGGACGGCGGGGGAAGGAGGGGGCGCAGGAGAAGGACGACGAGGGGAACGAAGATCACGAGGAGACGAAGGAGCAACGGCAGCGAGAGGTGGGGGATGAAACAGGAATGTAAGAGTGAGGGTGAGAAGGGGGGTGACGACGACGAGCAGCCGCACCAGGAAGGGAAATGCATTCACCTTCCTACACCGCCGTTTGCAGCCCTCTGGTGTATGTAATCCGAAGGCTCCCTACGTGCCTCCGCCTCCAGTTTCGGGCATCCCTCAAGGACATGGGCTTCACCGAGGAGAGCATCAATGAATTCCTCGACCATGGCGTCGCGGAAACGCAGGATGTCTGGCGATAGGGCGAGGAGGAGGGGGACATGGAGGAGGAGGAGGAGGAGGAGAAGAATGAGCAGCAGCATCATCATAATGGGGGAGGTGGACAACACTCGAAAGAGGAGGAGGAGACGGAGACGGAGACGGAGAAGAAGGAGGAGGAAGAGGCGGCGATGAGTTGGGGGGGCGAGGAGGGGTATGCGGAGAGGAATCGGAGGGGAGGGGGGGGCGAGAGAGGAGGATGCGGAGAGGAGTCGGAGGGGATGGGGGACTATGGCGGAGGGGCAGGCACCGTTGTCGCCACGTTGCTGCCACGTTGTCCCATCATTGGTACTGTTATTGTTACCACCACACCCACGAGTACAATGACTGCTTCTGATATTGCCATGACTAGGATTTAAGATCACCATCGCGTTTATTGACGACAGTTGCAGTGTACGGTACATGCTGGAGTTACGAACTATGTTGGTTGCACACCGCCTTCCTGAACCAGGGGTCGAAGAAGCCAGGCGCGTTCCACGTGAGGAGTTGACAGGCTATTCCATTATATTCGCCCGCAAGCCACGTGGCAATGTCAACTGTCCTGCAGAATACAGAGTGGTTTGCCCCCAGGGAAGGTTGCCCAGAAACCATGGGATTACCCAGTCATGTGCTGCACTTTCTCGAGTCCGTGCTCAGGCAACTCATCCGCGCATAACTTCAAGAGGAAGCGGGTGCGCCCTAGGGAGGGGTTGGCCGACACAGTTTGGCTCATGTTGTCCAAGTCGCCGGGGGAGGGCGAGGAGGCCCTGCCGCATCGCTGCATCACTGGCACGGCAGCGTGAAGCCCGCCGCAGCCGCGAGGTGGTTTCGCGACACGCCACGGCATGTCTGCCCATGCGATTGTCATTCAGATGTGGTGTTCTTTGTGTCTACCAGGGGTGATTTTTCAGGAGGAACGGTGCGGGCTTGGTTCCGCGCGCCAGAGGTATACCACCTAAGTGTGTGCGCATACATATATATGTGTATATATATATATATACATATACATATGTATATTACCTAGCGTGGACCCCAAAAACAGTGCTTCTAGCATTCCATATATGTATTTGTGTGTCATATATATATATATATATATATATATATATAAATATATATTAGATGGTGCGATCTACTCGTGGTGCAATCCACCGATGTTCAACTTGAAGTTGTCCACCCCACTGCTCGCGCAAACATCCCACCCACGCACTCGCAACTTGGTTTACAAACCCCATGAGGCGGTGATTGCGAAGAGTGCTTGGCGCTGGCTGGTGCATCTTTGCGGCCGCGACAGCCCGCGCGCACGCGCGCGCGCAGTGGCCAGCTAGTTTGGCGCGACCGATGCAGCCGCGGTGGTGCTGACCGCTGTGCTCCTCCCAGCGGGCACTTCAGTGCGAGGCGGCAACTTGGGCGGGCGCGGTAGCATGGCAACGTCGACAGCAGTAGACACGGTGATGATAGTAGCGATGGTGGCGACGATGTTGACAGCGACGACTGCACGGCCGCTGGCGGCGCGGATGCTGATCACGCCGACGACGATGACGGCGCACTCGCGACGGTGATGAAGGTTCGGGGTAGAATTCGCGACGGCGGCTACATAGCCGCCGGACCAACCACGCGGACCAAACGACGGGTGGCGAGGACGTGGCGACGGGGCGGCGACGGCGATAACATAGCCAGACCGACGACACGCCCCGGTTCCTGAGACCACAAGTAAGAACTCCTCACTGCAAGCACTGTTTGGGGAGTGTATGTGTGTGTGCGCATATGTGGTAGTGCAGGAATACGTACGATACAGTCGCAGCGCGATAGCAATCCCAGAGTAGCGGGATGGTATCAGCATCCGAACGCTGTGCTAGCACGTACCACGTCATGTGAACACGATCCGCATACCATATAGTTGTTCAAGGAATGCAGATGGAGCGTTAGGTTTGGAACACCGGCTTTCTCTTTCCATCGTATAAATGTTGTCTTCAGAGCGCGCGTTACGTAGCAAGCACACAACGACGACAACCATATCCGCGTTCCGTTATTATGGATTGAGTTTGGAAAGTTGCAAGGCGTGTTGTATGTATAACATGCAAGTGCCTGGCATGAGTTTCTCGGATAAGGAACCTACAGGATTTCCAACGGAACCCGCATGACCTCCAAAGCCATGTTGCTGATTCTCCCAGGAACTCGAAGAGGTGACCGGTGGAGCTTTGCGGACTTCTTCAGTGGCCCGCAAACAGATGTTCGCTGAGAGTTGTTGCAGTATGAAAGGCTGCTGCTGGAGATTGGGGTATTCAGAAGGAGCTGCGCAGGATTATTCTACACCCCTCAGGTCCCCGAAGGATTCGTCACGCATGCCAGAATCTTCAGAAATGTTGAGACTGCCTTTTAGTATCAAGAGAGATGTCCGAAAACATCCGGCGGATTTCATGTTTGGCGGGGGCAGGATGCCCGAACGAGTCGGGGAACAATCTGCAGGGTTCCTCAGGGATCTTCTTTTGGGGCAACAGAAACACTAAAGAAATCATCGTAAATGATGCCCCTTTGGGCCAGAAATATGTCGGACGATGTCTTCCGAAAGTCGCAGTATTTCCTGGGGGGCTCCCCTGGCCTATTTACGCTTCCCTGGGAGTTTCCCCGGAATCCTTTTTGGTATCCGGATGAATCCCAGGGGAATATTGAGGTTTTTGCAGATCTCACGAGATGCCGATGAAATCCCGGAATCCTCACCCTCATCCCCCCAATTGTTCTCTTTCAAGGTAGCAGTCGATGATCCTCCCAGGCCTTCCCCCCCCCCGTCCCATCCGCTCCCTCCGGGTTTTCTAGCATTCTGGACGCCCGAAATGGGTACGGAAAGAATGGGTACAATGCCCAACAGCAGTTCCTGTTCATTTTGAACAGGATTCGCTGTCCACGCCGCCGCGGCCTGTGTCCATTCGAGACAGAAGGCCGCCTGCCAAACAGCGGCCGCTGTTGGTTTGGGACAACATGTGTTGTTGGGCATTGTACCAATTCTTTCCGTGCCCATTTCGGGCGTCCAAAATCATGTCCAGCCGGTACCATACGAGGACCTCCAGGTGATGGTGCTCAGCGGCAATCCCGTCGGAGACGAGGGCCTCGCGGTCGTCTCTGAGAGTCCCCCGCCCGCCTCCCCCGACGGGCCTTGTCGGCGTCGTCTGGCAAGGTGGGTCCAGTTAGGGCGCGACGTGCCAACAGTCAAACAGTGGCGAAGCGTCCTGGCTCGCCTATAGCCCTACCACACAATGTCCTAAGAACCTTTTGTGGGTCCCACGACATGTTCTTAGAACATTTCTGGCGGAGTCTGTCTTGTTTTAACACATCGGATTTATGCTCTAAGAACATTGTTTTTGTTCTTAGAACATGTTTGCGTTCTAAGAACATTTCGTGGTAGGACTATAAGAATGCCGGGACGGTCGGTCCCTGCTCAAAACAGGGTTGAATATGCAAACAGTGCGTGCGGACACGACGGAGAACAACGCAGATGGGGTAGACGGGTTCACCGTGAAGACAAGGAGTGCTGAGGGCAAAGGGTCCAGAGATCGTCTGGCCGTTCCTAGGTTCCTGGGGGCCCTTCCCGGGCCCCGTGCCCCAGGACAACAGTCAACAAGTTGTTTTGGAGGGAACTTCCATCAGGGCCCCTGTTCCTGATGGCAGGAGGGGGCGAGGGGTGTGCTGCGCGAGCGGGGGCAGCGGGGAGGGGGTAGGGGCGCAGGCGAGGAGGGGGGGAAGGAAGGCGAGGCCAGAGAATGAGCAAGGGAGAGGGGAGGCGAGGAGGGATGAGGAGGGAGATGGAAGGCGAGGTCAGAGGAGGGCGAGGGCGAGAAGGGGGAGGGGAGGAGAGATCCGAGGAGGGGTTCCAGGAGACGGGGGACGCCCAGGGGACGGCGGGGAGACAGCACGCGGGGCGTGGCGGGAGAAGGCACGCAGGAGGGGCAGGAGGACGACGATTAGGGTAATGGCGAGGGCGAGCTCGTGGATGACGATTCGCCGGGATAGGTCTTTAGAACCCCGCCCCCAAGAGTGGAAATCAGTCATCTTCTCGGCGCCCTTATGGACGGACTGGATCCCCACCAACAGTGGGGCCCCGTCACCGCCGAGAGAGAGAGGGGGGGGAACCCCAAACTAAAGCCCATCTCGGCTAAGGGGACGGACATGGGGGCACGAAGCCTGCTGCGTATACCTGGTTTCGGCCCCGTCGCCGGGCACGTTCCTCCACACACAGGGCGCCTCTGGCGCTGGTGGGCGCCGGGCAGACAGGCGCTCGCGACTGATTCGCCAACCCTCTCCTTTCGTCCGCCCCACGGGGAGGACGGAGGAGGAGAAGGAGGACGGAGGAGGAGGCGGAGGAGGGGGGTGAGTTTTTTTTGTATGTTATGTGATCTCGCTGGTACAATGTTCCAGCTGCTGAGGTTGTCTGAGTTCACCAAGGCGGAGGGGCGGTTGCAAGATGCGCCCCTCGGCAGCGTGCCCATTGCAGGTGGTGGATAGACCTGCGTCCGCCGATATGCGTTGCCCAGGAGGACGGGAAGGAGGAGGAGGAGGAGGAGGAGGCTGAAATAGAGGAGGAGGAGGAGGAGGAGGAGGAGGGAGGAGGAGGAGGAGGAGGAGGAGGGAGGACGAGGAAGAGGAGGAGGAAGGTGAGGACGAGGGCGGTAGGAGGGAGCAGAAGGAGGAGACAGGAGGAGGGAGTACGAGGAGGGTGAAATCGATGAGGGCATTGCGGACGAGGGCGAGGACGATGGGCGAGCAGCAGGGCGAGGGTCAGCAACAAGCCGCGGCAGGGGCCCAGGAGCACTCCAGCCGACCGGCGGTTTGGCTGGCCGCACTCCGGCGCAGCGCAGGCCTCAGCATCGGCCTCACGGACCTTGCCCTGTCGAACTGCGCCCTGACCGTCGCCTCGCAGGCGCCGTCCCGCGCCGCGCAAGGATGGAGGAGGTGGGAGGGAGCGAGGGAGAAGGAAGGGAGGAGGAGGAGGAAGGGAGGAGGGGGAGGAAGAGAACAGGTCATATGGTATCATGCAAGACAAGATGAGGGAACATACGATAAGAAAAGAGAAGACACGATGATCTACTAAGATATATCAGACACGATCCAGAACATTGTATTGCGAAGGCCTTACGGCCGGTGCCGCCGACCCTGGAGGGCGACCCATGCGTTCTCGTATGTGGCGGGGGGGGCCTCTTGGGGCTTCCTGGGGGCCTCTTGGGGGTCTCGTGGTGGCCTCTTGGGGGCATCTTGGGGCTTCCTGGGAGCCTCTGTCGCCGAGGGCCCGAAACAATAAAGAATCCCTACGTGCAGTACTTGCGGGGGGGGCGTCGTATCTGAGTGGCGCCCCCCCCCCCCGGGACCCCCCCGCTACCCCCCCCCCCTCCCGGCGGGGGAGGGATCAAAGGGAAGGGGCTTCCCTTCGACTCAAATACGACGTTGCTGAAGTTCATTTGGGCTGGCGCGCTTGAGCAGGGGCCCCTGCTGGGAAAGAGGACGGGAGTGGCGACGGGCCCACGGAAAGGGAGGCGCAAGGAAGGGGGACGACAGAGACGACGACCAACGAACAACGGGGATGACGTCTCGAACGGAAAAGCCCCTCACACACGCCGACAGGGTCGGCGGATATTATGGCAGATGCCAAGAGAAGAGAGGATGCTATACGGGAGCATAAAAGACTTACCTCAGGAGGAAAATAAACACACAGACACAGTTAATCCTCGATCCCCCCCAAAAAATATGGGAAACTATGGGAAGTGGGGGGGAAGACAGAAACCCAGAAGATATGTGAAAATTTGGGGTGTCCTGGGGCGCCTTCATTTATTGTGTTATACGAGAAGGTGATACAAGATAACAACCCACAATCTCAAGTTCACCACTATAAGATAATGCGAACGATTATATTACAATAGAAGAGACGATCAGATATGGCAGGGTACAATACACCAAGAGACATGTACGAGAAATAGAAGAGGGATAGAGAAGGAGGCGGAGGCGGAGGCGAAGGATGGGTAGGATGACCAAGAAAAGGAGGAGGAGGAGGAGGAGGAGGAGCGAGGAGCGCGGAGGATGACGAGCGAGGAGTGCCGCAGACCCGTTGCACCTCCTGTGAGGCAAGTGCTAAGCAGGGGGTCCAGTTCCAGAAGGGACCGGCGTCGGCCCTCTGCCGAGGATGACCCATGCTGGGGGCCTGCATACTGCGAGGAGCGTGCCGAAGATGAGCCCAGCCTGCCTGCACACCGGCCGAGTTTCCGCGAGAGGCCCGCGCGTGGTGCCGACAGACTGGGAGAGGCCCACCCGCGCGCATGGGGCGTGGAAGCATGGGGCGTGGAAGCAGCGGCCCCGCGAAACAAGCGGCAGGTGGGCCCAGGCGGGCCCGGGGGCGAACCTCGGGACTTTTGCGCAGCGCGATAAGGATCTCCTGGCGCTCCTCTCCAGCCTTAGGTTTGGGTCGGGCATGTCCTCCGACTGGCGGATCTTGGAAGAGAAATAAAGAATTGTCATAACATTATTGGAGAGGCCTGACGGCCGGTGCCGCCGACCCTGATCGAAAGGGCTAGGAGTGGGGGGAGGAAGCGGAGGATGAGGATGAGGAGGAGGAGGAGGAGAAATAAAGAATTGTTATAACATTATTATCAAAACATAATCGACAAATCATTCCAATATTGTGCTTGGACTATGCTTAAGTTCTCTTAGCCCCAGGCGGGAGAGGCAGGCCTCGCGGCCGGGGTGGGTCGACCGCGCGGGGACTTGCGCGAGCACAGGAGGAGGAGGAGGAGGAGGAGGAGGAGGAGGAGGAGGAGGAGGAAGGGGAGGATGGGGGGAGGAACAGGAGGAGGAGGGGGAGGAGGAACAGCAAGAGGGAGGGCTGTGCGGGAGGAGGTCTGCGTCCCCAGGACACTGACGGCACCGAGGGTCTCGGCCTGGTGCCGCAGGGAGAGCGGCTGGCATCTCGCCGGGTGGGTACCACTGGGGAGCTTCGCCGGGTGGGCGGGTATGTACCACTGGTTCGCCGGGTTGGCACCACTGGGGAGCTCCGCGGGCGCCCCGTACGCCGGCTGGCACTTCTGGGCGTTGTTGCCAAGTGTGCGCCCGTGGGCGCCCGCCTGCGCTGCGCACAGGTTGCCCCACGTTAGCTGCACCAGCATGCAAGCCATAACTTGCACCACACAGCTTGCGCCGCACTGGCGTCACGCCCCACATGTCGGAGGGGCGCCAACAGTAAACCGCCACCAGCTCTGGCCAGGTCCATCCTGGGCCCTGGAGCGGTGTATAGGCCTCCAGGCCTAGGCCAGGAGGGCCCGTACACCAGTCCAGGGCCCAGGACGGGTCTGGCCTGGGCTGGTGGTGGTGTATTGCTTGGAGCTCTCCTACACATTGCATCCCACGCGTACGCACCGTAGCTTGCCAACTGTCAAGGCGTCCTGTACGGTGTGTCCTTTGCACGACATGCAGTGCGCACACATGTTGCAACGTGTTGTAGAGCAGTGCAGCCTGAGGCGATGGTTTGCAACGCGACGCAGAATTATTACGCAGCGCCAACGCATTACAACGCAAGAGAGTGCAGTGCAATTGAAACACATGGCGAAACATGCAAGGCACGTGCAACACAAAACAATGTCAAGCAGCTCAAGGCAATGCAAAGTAAAGCAACCCGGCGCATTGCATTTCAAACTTTTCTCGTTCCTCATCATCGTCTTCCTTCCTCTCCTGCTCCTCCTCTTCCTCCTCCTCCCCCTCCTCATCCTCCCCAATTCTCCTCCGCTCTCTTCTTATCCCCTCCTCTCCGTATCCTCCCCCTCCTCCCCACCTTCCTCCCGGGGGAGAAGCAGGAGGGAGGGAGGGGAGGCGGACCTCTCCTCCTCCCTCCTCCTCCTCCTCCTCCTCCTCCTCCTTCCCATCCTCCTCCTCCCTGCCCCATCCTCCTCCTCGTTCCTCAGTTCCCTCCTCCCCTTCGCTTTTTCGAGCGCGCGCGGGGCGCGCGCGGGCCATAGGCGATGCCCCTCAGCACGTGTGGGGGAGCATCGCCTGTTCTGTTATGATAATCTTCTTGAGCCAGGTGGTGTTATATGATGTTATATTGTGTTTTAGTCGTTGACGTAGTGGCATCAGTAGTGGAACAAGTATGGTCTGATATGCTATTGCATGGTATGGTAGACTGTGGTTTACTCCATGGGGTATGCAATGGTGTGTTATGCTGTGTGATGCGATGGCATGAGATGAAAGGTCATAGAATGGCATGGTATGGCCGGCCATGTGATGTTAGTGTATGATGTTTTATGGCTTGCCCCGTGTACTAGAGTATGGCGTGCTATGTTAGGTTATGGTGTGATTATCCTACTCAGGTCTGCTACTGGAGTGCCTGCTATTGGAGGCTGGGGGCTGGGATCGCAGTGAAACGGAGAGCCCCCCACCGGGAAATCGGTTCAGGTTTCGTGCTCGTGTCGTGCGTGCGGGCGAGGCGAAGTTGCGTGGGCGGGCGAGAGGAATGAACCCGCCATTACTGGGCTCAATGATTCCCCTCTCCCAGTTGGCCAGCGGTGGCTCGGGTGTCTCTCCGCGGTGTCCCGTTGCGTCCCGTGGTGTCCCTTGGCACGGTGTCCCGTGGTGTCCCGTGATGTCGATAGTGAGATCGGTTGAGTGAGATCGGTAGTGATATCCGTAGTGAGATCGATAGTGAGATCGATGGGCAAGTCGATGGTGATATCAATAGTCAGATCGATAGTGAGGTCGATTGTGAGATCGATGGGTAGGGATATCGTTAGGTAGAGGGAGATCGATACTGAGATCGACAGTGAGATCGATAGCAGGGTCGATTGTGATATCGGAAGTGGGATCGATCAGTACATAGTAGTGGGATCGATCGTGATATCGATAGATACATCAAACGTGAGATCGATCGTGAGGTCGATAGAGAGATCGATAGCTCGTTGTTGGGAGCGATAGTGGGAGTGGCATCAATCGCCGATAGTGAGATGGATTATGTTTGCATCATCATTTGAGTGGGTAGCGAACGATATCGAAATATTGATATTGGGTGCGACAGTGAAATCGTTACTTAGATCGACAGCAATATCGATAGATAGTGAGATCGATATATAAATTGACATCAACAGCGGGGCCGATAGTGGTTTTCCGTGGTGCCCCGTGGTGTCTTGTGGTGCCTTGTGGTTTTGTATGTTCTTAGGACATTCTCTTAAAGGAAAGAGCGTCCCGGCAAATACATGCAACTTCATTCTGCTGGTTGCCCCGATGCTGCTTGATGGGTATTCTGAGTGATAGATGGCCGAACATATTGCCTTGTACTTGTGTAGTATGTCCTCCAGAAAAGAGGGGCCAGGTAAAGAACTGCCACCCAGCGGTGTCGACAGTGAGATCGATAGTGGTGTCCCGTGGTGTCTCGTGGTGCCCCGTGTTATTGTTTGTTCTTGTTATTTTCTTGTAAAGGAAAGAGCGCGCGGCGCAAATTAATGCCACGTCCAGCAATGGAGGTGGCATTGATTTGCCTGCGACTGTGGTGGTGCCGCAATCGCCAGTGTGAGTGCATGTGAGTGCGCCGTCGCGGGTGTGTCGTGCCGTTGGCCAGGCTTCGCCAGCCAAAGTTGTTGGATGCTTTGCTGCTGTTTCGCGTTGCCCGTTGCCTTCCTCATCACCAGCACCGCCTCCATGCGCCACCACCACCACATGCATTGCCACCAGCATCGCCGACAAGCATCGCCATCACGCATTGACGCCAGCATCGTCATCATGCATTGTCACCAGCATCGTCGCTATCACAGCCACTGCAATTGGTCTCACTTGCCCCCACCACCCCCCAACAACATCCCCATCACCCGACGATGGTCGTATAGGTAGTGTTATCCTGGCCGTAGTTGCAGCAGTCGTAGAATGCTTGTGGCACGATATGGTATGTTGAGTCATGCCATGCTCTCTTATGCTACGCTCTGTCACAGTATGGATGTGTGGAGTATGACATGATGTAGTGTGCACTGCTAGGTCACGACCGGACATGTTCAGCAATGCTATTTCTTGTGTTGGTATACAGTGCTTTGTCATTATGGGTTGAGGCATGCCACGTACAGTTTGCTATGGTATGTAATATATTACAATGCTATGCCACGTCATGCCATAATGTGTGTTGCTATGGTATGAACGGCACGGCTGTGGCACGATGTACTATGTGCGACATGGCACGCCATCCTATGCCATGTTGTGACATGTTGGGATGTTGTATGTTGTGTTACATGATGTTCTGTTTTGCTTGATTCGTCGAAGGCGTGGGGAACGGAATCCTCGGGGGAATCCGTGTGGACCCGGGCATCAGGCGGCCGCGGTATGCCAGGATCCTCGGGGAAGTCCTTGTTCTGTTCTGTTCAGTTCTGCTCGTCGAAGGCGCTCGGGGCGCAATCCTCGGGGGAGTCCTGGTGGGCATGGGGACCTGGCGGCCGTCTGGCGGGATCCTCGCGGGAGTCCTGGTGGACCTGTTGCGGTATGCAGGGTGGGCGGGTCGGGAGGCCTATTCTGAGAATATGACAACCTTAATTTGTCGGATGGGGAAAGACTGAGGGTGAAAAGCGGGCCCTGGGGGAACGGGTCTGGACTTCCAGGGACCCCGTACTGAAAAACAATACATCGGATCTCCTGGCGCGGCCGCCGAATGGCTTGGACAGCAGAGCGGACCCAATTTCAACAAGGTGGTGGCAATTCTGTCCGCCCGGCAGCCGAAACTCGATCGCAGGCCCAGTCGGTTGTCGAGGGAGGCTCAGACGCCGCATGGGTTCAGCAGGTAATCATGGGGTGGCGGCGCGCGATCCTGCGTCAGCATATGCAGGCCCTCGGCGTCAAGAGAGGGCCGCCCCAGGCAACTCTGCTCAACCTGGTGTCCCTGTCGCCCAATCTGAGGCGCACCGGCGCGGGCTCCTGGGGGGAGGAGGAGCAGACGGGGAGGAGAGGGATGGTGGGACAGAAATCGGGAGGGGAAAACAACACACAGACACAATCAATTTTCGGTCCCCCAGAAAATATGGGAAACTATGGGACGTGGGGGGGAAGACAAAAACCCAGAAACTATAGGAAAGTATGGGGCATCATTTTATTTGTGTGTACTTATTTGTGTGTCCCTGGGCCCCTCCAAGAAAGATGGAGAGAAAGAGAGAGAGAGAGGACGGCAGGGTGTGAGACGGGGAGAGCGGGCAGGACAGTGAAGACTGAACTGGCGGGGAGGGCTGGGGGAGCAGGCGGGAAGCCGGGGAGAGGAGGGAGAGGGCGGAGTGGGAGAAGGGAGAAGGGAGGAGAGGAGGGAGGGAGGGAAGGAGGGAGGTAGAAGAGATCGAGAGGGCATCGAGGAGGGAGTAGGGAGGATGGAAGATGGAGGGAGGGACAGAGGGAGGAGGCAGGGAAGGACGGGGGGAAGGAGAAGGAGAAAGAGGAACGTTGTTCCACAGGTGCAGACGAAGCATGAGGAGGGTGGAGGCGCAGAGGCGGCGACGGTAGAGCCAGGGGAGGCTGGAAGAGGGAAGGAAACGGGCTCGAGGGGGGGGCAGAGGGCTCAAGAGTGGACGACGAAGATGAGAATGATGAGTGGCACGGAGTGGTGGCGCTCCGGGCAGGTTCTGCTCTTCATGATCTCGGTCGTGGCTGTCTCTGGCCGAGAGGTGTGCAGACAAACGAGCACACCGACGTGTCGAGAGAGAGAGAGAGAGATAACAAACAACCAACACAACACAACACAACAGGCACACACACACACAACAAGCACACACTCACACACACACACACACACGCACGACTAACAAAATGAGGACTGGGGAGGGGGAGGGGGGAGGGGTAGGGAGGAAAGGAGGGAGGGAGCGCAACCTCGCGAGAGAGAGAGAGAGAGCGAGTCTCTGACGAGCACAGCGTGATGGTAATGCTCTGCATCTTAGACGTTGGGGGGAGGAGGAGCAGGAGCAGGACCAGGCTGAGCAGGATGAGCAGGAAAAGGCGGGGGATGGGGGGGCAGCGAGCGGGACAGGGAGGGACGGGGGGCAGATCAGGGTGGATCAGAAAATTGAGCAAACACCCTCGCATCCCGCGAAAAGAGGACCAGGATCAGCCACAGCAGCAGCAACAGCAGCAGGCGGGATGAGGGCGAGGAGGACGGGGAGCAGGAAGAGAAGGGGAGGAGGGACGAGCAAGACGAGGAGGAGAAAAAACAGAGAGAGGTGGGAGAGGGGGAGAGGCAGGGGGGCGGATTCGCGGGAAACTACGGTGATGAGGAGCGGAGATGCTTGACGAGGGGCGCGGATGTCTCCACCTCCATCCAACGTGGCTGTTAGCTTGAGCCGTGGTCGGCGCGACACAGGACTGCGATTCCGTCTGCGGGCGAACCCGAGGGAGGGCGACTGTCAGGGTTGCGTACCGTCGCTCCGCCGTCCAACTTGCAAGTTGGCGGAACACGTCTGGGGCACGGACTCGCGGACAAAAAGCCCCGGGGCGAGGAGGGCCCGCCCTCGAGGGAGGATCGAGGACCGAGGATCGAGGCCTCTGGGGTTCCTTGCCGTTCTTGTCGATGTGCTCGGGGAGGTCCCGAAGCGCGCGCTGCGGCAACTCTGGAGGGGATGGGTCGTGGCGGAGCATAGAGGAAAGAGAACTATGCACAGACACCGATTCTGGCCAGGCCCATACGCCCTCCTACTGTGGCCAGGAAGGCATATGCACCGATCCTGGGTCAAGGGTGGGCCTTACCAGGATCGGTGCATGTGCACATTTCTCTTCGCCCACGGAGCAGGGGGCCTCCCGCGCCGGCGGGCACCTGCCCCCCGCGGCGGTGCGAGGCACAGTCTGCGCTCGGCCTCCCGGTGGCCGGGGCCACATCGCCAGCGCGAGACACGCGAGACGTGCCCCAGAGGGCCTCGCCTCCGAGGATCGAAGGGCTTCCGCCATACATGCATCTATACATAGACATACATATCTCTATACATACATGCATACATACACATAGTTTATATTCAGTTACATGTACAGTTACACAGCCATGTGCATATGCATATACACATACATAACACATGCAAATAACACTACATCCACATACACATACACTTGTACACATTCACATACATACAACAACACACATACACAGACATACATACCTACATGAGTACATGCAGCCATGCATACATACATACGTGTCTGCATGCATACACACATACATACATACACACATACATACACATACATACATACACACATGCATACATGCATGCATACACACATACATGCATACATACATATACATATATACATACATGCATACATACATACATACAGACAGACAGACAGACAGACAGACATGCATACATGCATACATGCATACATACATACATATCTACCTACATACATACATCCATCTATCTATATATCTATCTATCTATCCATCTTTATATATATATATATACAAGACTGCATTGGCGCTTCGCGCCATGTACCTTGGTCCTTGAAGTTTGGTGTGCAGGCGGAATACATCCCGGTTTTGGGCGGGAACTTTGGATAGCGTGTCGCTCCGCCGGTTCTGGCCCACCACTCATCGGCGCGACGTTCCAGCGATCCAAGCGTCCACGTCGCCGAGCGGTGCCCAGCCTCCCCGAGTGGAGCGAAGCGACACGCTATCCCCTGGCAGGGGGCAGCGTGTCGCTGGGGCCGCCGCCGCGACGCGCTGCGCAACAGTTCCCGGCCGAAGACCCCTTCCGCGGGGCCAGCTGCTCATGCCGAGCCGTTGTGTTGACGGTCCCCCCCATGGGCCCCGCGAGTGCCCCAGGAGCTCGCAGGTTCGCCAGGCCAAATCCCGTCGTGGTTTCCTCGCGACGCGAGGTGGTTGGGGCCGTCGCCTGCTTCGACTGCCCGCGCGGCTTTTCATGCCGAGCCGTTGTGTTGACGGTCCCCCCCATGGGCCCCGCGAGTGCCCCAGGAGCTCGCAGGTTCGCCAGGCCAAATCCCGTCGTGGTTTCCTCGCGACGCGAGGTGGTTGGGGCCGCGCCTGCTTCGACTGCCCGCGCGGCTTTTCATGCCGAGCCGTTGTGTTGACGGTCCCCCCCATGGGCCCCGCGAGTGCCCCAGGAGCTCGCAGGTTCGCCAGGCCAAATCCCGTCGTGGTTTCCTCGCGACGCGAGGTGGTTGGGGCCATCGCCTGCTTCGACTGCCCGCGCGGCTTTTCATGCCGAGCCGTTGTGTTGACGGTCCCCCCCATGGGCCCCGCGAGTGCCCCAGGAGCTCGCAGGTTCGCCAGGCCAAATCCCGTCGTGGTTTCCTCGCGACGCGAGGTGGTTGGGGCCGTCGCCTGCTTCGACTGCCCGCGCGGCTTTTCATGCCGAGCCGTTGTGTTGACGGTCCCCCCCATGGGCCCCGCGAGTGCCCCAGGAGCTCGCAGGTTCGCCAGGCCAAATCCCGTCGTGGTTTCCTCGCGACGCGAGGTGGTTGGGGCCGTCGCCTGCTTCGACTGCCCGCGCGGCTTTTCATGCCGAGCCGTTGTGTTGACGGTCCCCCCCATGGGCCCCGCGAGTGCCCCAGGAGCTCGCAGGTTCGCCAGGCCAAATCCCGTCGTGGTTTCCTCGCGACGCGAGGTGGTTGGGGCCATCGCCTGCTTCGACTGCCCGCGCGGCTTTTCATGCCGAGCCGTTGTGTTGACGGGGCCCCGCGAGTCCCCAGGAGCCGCAGGTTCGCCAGGCCAAATGCCCGAGACCCGCATGTCGCCGTCGTCGCGACGCGAGGTCGCCTGCTTCGACTGCCCGCGCGGCTTTTGCCGAGCCGTTGTGTTGACGGTCCCCCCCATGGGCCCCGCGAGTGCCCCAGGAGCTCGCAGGTTCGCCAGGCCAAATCCCGTCGTGGTTTCCTCGCGACGCGAGGTGGTTGGGGCCATCGCCTGCTTCGACTGCCCGCGCGGCTTTTCATGCCGAGCCGTTGTGTTGACGGTCCCCCCCATGGGCCCCGCGAGTGCCCCAGGAGCTCGCAGGTTCGCCAGGCCAAATCCCGTCGTGGTTTCCTCGCGACGCGAGGTGGTTGGGGCCATCGCCTGCTTCGACTGCCCGCGCGGCTTTTCATGCCGAGCCGTTGTGTTGACGGTCCCCCCTGGGCCCGGCGAGTGCCCCAGGAGGTCGAAGGTTCGCCAAGCCAAATCCCTTCGTGGTTTCCTCGCGACGCGAGGGTGTTGGGGCCGTCGCCTGCTTCGACTGCCCGCGTGGCGCCAGCGGTGGCAGCCGCGGGCCAAGGATCGGCATCGATCGCTCTGGAGAGCTCGCTGGAACGCTCTCGGAGCGCCCCTGGGCGCGCTCCGGAACGGCCGCTCGGCGCCCATATCATACATATATCTATATCTATATCTATATCTATATCTATATCTATATATATATATATATATATATATATATATTCCTCTTCCTATATTTTTATAAGCCCGGGCGGGGGGAAAACCCATCCCCCCCCCCTAAAACCGGACCCCCGGGATCTGTAGCTTTGGGACCCTCCGGACGGGCCTCGAAGCGGCCCCCTGGGCCTCGCAGGGCGTGTTGCCAAGTCTTCGCAGCACACCCAGGGCGATCAGGGGGGTCACCGGAGACGTCCCAGAGACCCCCAAGACAGCCCAAGAGCGCTCCAAGAAGCCGTCATACCCCGAAAGATCGCTCCAAAACGTACCAAGAGGCCTCCAAGAGCACCCCCAAGAAGGCACCAAGAGGGACAAATCATTGATTCTATGTAGGTTTTTGGTGCGTTTGGGGTTCTCCTCTTTTCGGCTTCCCGACGCTCCAAGACGGCGGTCTCCTAGGCGTCCGAAGCCGCCTGGGAGGCTCCAAAATCGGCCCACAACCATCCGAAAGGGCTTCCAGGCAGTCCAAGAGAGCCCCAAAACGGCACAACACGGATCCAAAATGGCCCTAAGAGAGCCCCATGGCGGCCCAAGATGGCCCCAAGACACCCTCCGAAGCATTCCAAATCGTGACTGGGGCGTTCAGGGAGACCGCGGTTGGAAGCATGTTGGCCTTAGGAAGCCCCAGAGGCCCCCAGAACACACCCAGGAGGCCTCCAGAAGGCTTTAAGAAAGCCTGAGAACTTTGGTGAGGCCCCCAGAGGCTCTTCAAGGAGGAGCCTCCGCAAAAAAGAGCTGAGGAGGGTTGGGGAGAATGCGCAGGGCATGGCGAGAATGAGGACAAATAAGCATGGAGGAAGGACAACGAACAACATTATTATAACGGCGATGCTGGAAAAGGCAGCACGGAGTTATCGCTAAATTGGAAGCCATTTCTTTATTGCTTGGGGCATGACGGGCGTCATGGCCCCCGCTCCCGCCCCCCCCCTATGACGTAACGCTCCCCCCCCAGTGCGCTCCGGGCACTGCCGCCGTGCGCATTGGGATCCGCGTAGGTGTCCGCGTAGGAATCCGCATAGGTGTCTGGTCCGCAGGCGTCGTCGTCGTCGTCGTCGTCGTCGTCGTCGTCGTCGTCGTCGTCGTCGTCGTCGTCGTCGCTCGTTCGTCGCTCGTCGCTCATCGTCGTCGTGCGCGCGGACGCGGCTGGAGCCTATTTTTAAGTCCGCGCCGATGACGGCAACCATCTGGGGGGGGAGGAGGTCGATGACGTCACGTTTCGCGCCGGCGGCGTTTGGGAATGGTTAGGAATGACGGAGGACGGGTAGCACGAACATGTCGGTGGCGATATGCACCACAACGCCTGTGTACATCACAGTGCCCGCGTGCACCACAGCGCCTGTGTACACCACACCGCCGATGTACACCACAGCAGCCGCGTGCAACACAGCGTCAGTTTGTGCCACCGTGCTTGCGGGCACAGCAGCTCCTGTGCACACCACAGCGCGTCCGTACACCACATCAGCCTTGCGCAACAAAGCACCAGTGTACACCACAATGCCTGCGTGCATTGCAGTGCCTGTGTACGCCACAGCGCCTGTGTGCACCACATCAGCCGTGTGCAACACAACACCATTGTTGTGTATAGAATTCAGAAGTCATCCTTGTGACAAAATGGAACGCGTGTGGATTCCAGAGAAAACAATGGAAAACAAAACCCCATGGACACAGGAGCGCCGCTGGAATCTACGAGTCCCCCCGAGTCCGCCCGCATCACCCTAAGTCCCACTTGCGTCCAGGAGGTTCCAGCTCAACTGGCCGTCCGAGAACCGAGTGGACCGATTCAATCGACCATTCTGCGGTGCACGCCGAGATGCGCACGTGCGTTGTAACGCCAAGCCGCACGACAGGGGGTAAGAAGGAGGAAAAGGAGGACGAGGAGGAGGAGGAGGTGGAGGAGGAGGGAGAAGGGAAAAATGTCTCATGGGATTATCAGAACTTTCCTGGCGTGGCGTTTAGGTGCCCGCATCAGATCCTGACGTACATGCTCCTTCTACTTGTCCTATGCACGCAGGCACTGTGGTGCACACCAGCGCTGCGTTGCACCCGGATGCTGTGGTGTAGACAGGCGCTGTGGCGTGCACGGGCGCTGCGGTGCACGCAAGCACTGTGGTGTACACGCGCGTTGTGTTGTACATGGCTGCTGCGGTGTATGTACACCGGCGATGTAGTGCTCCCAAGTATTGTGGTATACGCGGGCTGTGCGTTGCACGCGACTGTTGCGGTGTACGGAGGCGCGGGGGTGCACACGCGCGGCGTGGACGCGAGCGCTGTGGTGTACACAGGCGCAATGGGCAGATCGCCACTTACATACTGCTCGCGTCGTCGTCGTCACTCGTCGCTCGTCGCTCGTCGCGTCGTGCGCGCGAGCGCGGCTGTGGTGCCGGAGCCACACGGCGGGGGGGGGGCGTCACGTCATACCCCCCCCCCGCCCTCTCCCCCCCCCATGACGCCCGTCATCGCCGAAGATAAAGAAACGCTCGGCTTAACCTTCCTGCCATTTCCGCTTGCACACCACACTTTAAGGACCAAGGTTAATGGCGCGAAGCGCCACTGCAGTCTTGTATATATATATATATTCCTCTATATAGGAATATATATATATATATATATATATATATATATATATTCTTATATGTTTATTACGTGGACCCCCCCCCCCCCCAGACCCCCCCCTAAACCGGATCCTCCTCCAAGGGACGCTCCAGACGCCCTTTCAGACGTCTCGGCGGCCCCCTGGACGCCCTTGGAAAAGGTTCGGTGGTCCTTCAGGGCCTCCCAGGGCGCCTCGCTGGGCCTTGCGAGCTGACTGAAGGCGATTAGAAGGGTCGAGAGGTGCAAGAGAGACCCAAGACAGCACAAGAGCGCTCCAAGAGGAACCTCGATGGTCTGAAGACGGCCCAACAGGCCCCCAAGACACTCCAAGAGGCCGTTAAGAGAGCCCCGAAGAAGCCAAAATCGTTATTTTCCCTCAGGAAATACATTTGTTGTGCATATCCGCTGTTGGGTCTTCGCAGCGTCCAAGACGGCCCAATGGACCCCCAATCTCGCCCCGAGACGGCCCGGGAGGTCCTCTAGAGGACTTGACGGCGGTCCAAGGGGGCCCCAAGATTGCCCCAGAGAGCCTCGAGATTGCCCACAAGAAGCCCAAGATGCCCCCCAGAAGGCTCCCAAGAGAGACCCACGAAAGCCATGGGATACTTCCAAGAACGCCACTGGAGGCCCGCAAGAGGGCCCTAGATGGCTTCAGAAGACCTCTGGAGGGCCCCAGCTCTCCAAGGCGGCCCAAGAAGCCCCCAGGACGGCCCAAGAGCGCCCCAGGACGGCACAAAAGAGCACCAAAAACGACCAGACGGCGTTCTCCTACGAAATACATCAAGCTGACCCGACGATCTTGGTTCCAACGCTTGAGGCTCGAGGTTTCAGTAGCTCCCCGATCGAGAGAGACAGGCAATGGATCTAGATTCGAAATTCGACGATCGAAGATTTCCTGAGTGAAAGGAGCCCTCCAGGCATTCGGGAAGCGATCAAAAATCGATGTGTTCGGAACTACTGTGACTTCTTCGGCGTGTCATGAGAACGCTCCTTACTTCCTCAAAGGACCTTCGCGCGCGAAAAAATCAGCATGATTTCCCCACTCCTGCGCACAAGCGTGCCAGCGCATCGTCCGAAAGCGGTGTCAGCAGGCACCCGGGATATCGGAAAAATGGGCGGGTCGCCCGTCCAGGCCTCGAGGTCCTCCCTGCTGAAGAAAGCGACGATTTATTGCTTTGCCAGGGAAGCGTCCAGAACAAGGCGCATGGCGAGAAGCGCCAATGCAGTCTGTGTGTGTATATATATATACACATACATATACATTTACATATACATATACATACGCTCCAGAACCGCCTGATCTCAGAGATCCCTGCCCAGACCCCCTCGAGGAATGAAGAAATCACGACGGGAGGTTTTTCACAATTTCCGGCCTCCGGGGGCTTTCCCAGGGCCTCGGGACCGCCAACAAAACGATTCAGGGTGAAAGGCCGGTCCAGGGGGAAGGGGTCGAAACCTTGAGGGTCGACGTCACGAACAAATCATGACGTCGGGGGCCTGGGCGACTTGCAGTCAAAAACCCGAATAAGGACGCGCGACTTTACTCAGGATGCCCTTGCGTCCTTGCTCTTCCTTGCTCTTGCGTCCTTGGGGTTTTCGTCGTCCGCCGCCCCCAAAATCCCAACTTCGGTTTCCAAGGGTCTTGCAATCTTACCGCGCGTCCTTATTAGGGTTTCTGATTGTATCCCGATCCGATCTGGTCTCGCACCTGGCTGGTAAGGCTTCGGAGTTGCGCGCAGACGGCCCCCACAGGCAGCCCAGGCTGCCCTCCGCGGGTCCCCCGAGCAGTCCCCGCTGGCCTCGGCCCGCTCCCCCGGACCAGTTCCCTGACTCCAGATCCGCCCTACTTTGTTTTTTTTCCCAACTTAAAATTGCGTCGGAAATCCACCTATGAGAGGCCGAAAAAGTAGGGCGGAAATTTCTGCACCGAACATAAAGTAGGGCGGAAATCCACAGAAGTAGGGCGGAAACAGCAGCAGAAAAGTAGGGCGGAAATTGGCATCGGCGGGGCTTGAAAAGTAAGGCGGAAATTCCAAGCCCTACTTACGAATTTCCCCAAAGTAGGGCGGATCCGGAGTCAGGGTTGCCGCTGTCCCGAGGCGTGCTGTTTGACGGCCCCGAGGCGCCGTAAAAGGGCCCCCAGAGGCCGAAGGTAACGAAAAGCTTGCCGTCGCGATTTTCTCGTGGCCTCGAGAGGGTTGGGGGTCGGGGTTCTTGGCCTCGTCTCCTCCGACCGCCCACTTGGCGCAAGGGGTAGGTCCGGGGTGTCCTCCTAGAGGCGGACCCTGGAAGAAGAATAAGAAATGGTCAACAGGTGTTCAGGCATAGCCGCAAATCCTCGAGAAGTCGTCCTCGTACTCCTTGTTTACTGTCTTTGAATGCTCCTCCCGTAGAGGGGCATGCCCGACCTCACGCCCGTGGTGGCGGCCGCGGGCACCGGCGAGGAGGGGCGGGCGCTGCGCGCGGCCCCCGGGGCGGGGGCGCGCCCCCCAGGAGCCTCGACCTCTCCAACAACGCGCTGGGGTCGGGCGGCCTGTCGGACATGGTGCGGCCCTGGGGCATCGGCAGCGGCGTCGTCTTACCGATCCCCAGACTTCTGATGCTCCAACCTACGTTAGCCTTGATCGCCAGAGAGAACTTCGGGCACCAAGACAGCACCGAAACCTGAGATTCTTCAAGGGTCGGGCCCAGGGAGGCGCTACCCGTTCGGCACTGTCTCGATCCTTCTTGGGTGCTCGAAATTCTTTCTGGGATGTGGTCCTTGAGTGCGATGGAAGCAACATAGCCCCAGACCTCCAACGCATCGGAGCAAACACGATACGGAGCACCTTCGCCGTCTTCGGCCTCCATGGGGGCCCTTCCCGGGCCCCGGAGCTGTCAAAAGAGACTCAGGATCTCGGGGGCGGAAAAGAGGGGGGTGATGACTAGGGGCGGGCGGACATCATGGCTGGGGCCATGATGTTTCCCCAGATTTCATGGCGCCTCTTCTTTTTTCATTACGTCCCTGGTCCCCCCGCTGGGCCGCGCACATGCCGCCAGTCATGATTTGCACCCCCCCTTCTTGGACACCCCCCTCTTGGCCGCTCCCGAGGATCGAACGCCGGCGATGGGAAAAGGGCCAGGACCTCTCGGGACCGCGCAGTGAAGAAACAAGGGACGTCGGATGTCTGGGCCCCATCGTCGCTTGACCAGTGCATCTCAGTCCCACCGGCCCACCCTCCCAGGTGGGGATAGGCTTAAGTCGGGCCTGTCCCTCTACAGGGGAAAAGCAAAAATTGTAAAAAATAGTCTGGGGGTTGAGTATATTTTGAATATTGTTTGAGTATTTTATTTGTCGTCCAAAATCCCCCTGTAGGGGGACAGGCCCGACCTAAGGATAGCCCCGCGAGACCCGAGGGAAGCTGCAGAAGTTCCCACCCATAGGGAGCTGCGTCGGCCAGCGGGGTCAAGGCCATCCTGGTGGGGACGGGGATCGGATGGGGCGTGGTCCTGGTCGGGGGCGGCAGAGAGGGGGGTGATGACGAGGGGGGGGGAGATATCATGGCGTGGGCCATGATATTTCCCCAGATCTCATGGCGCCCCTTCTTGTTTCATTACGTCCCTGCCCCCCCCCCCTCCCCCTGGGCCGCGCACATGCCGCCGGCCATGATTTGCGCTCCCCCCCTCCTGGACTCCCCCATCTTGGCCGCACCCGAGGGGCGTGGTCCTGGGGAGCGGTGCCTCCCCTTAGAGTTAGGCAGGGCATGTCCTCCTACAGTTAAGTCGGGCCTGTCCCCCTACAGGGAGGATATTCAAAAATGGTCAAAAAATAGTCAGGGGATTATTTATGAGTTTTGTTTTTGCATCTTTTAAGTACTTTTTGAGTAGTTTGTATGTTTCGTCCAAAATCCCCCTGTAGGGGGACACGGCCGACTTATCCTACAGGCGGAGTTGGAAAGAAGAATGAAACACATTCCACAACATAACCAAGAATTGTCAGGGAAATGCTGGGCAGATCCTCGCCAGACTATTTTGTTGCACTATTCTCGAATACTCCTGCTGTAGAGGGATTGGCCCGACTTCACCTCAGAGCCGGGCCTTGCAGAAACCTCGCGACGCACAGTTGGTCGTCGTTTTGGGCCTCGTGAGGCCGCCTCCCGGCCCCGGGGCCGTCGCAACCCGACCCGTGTGATGAAGAGCTGGCCCTAAACGAAAAATCAAGATCCCCAGGGGCCGACGCCAGGAAGAAGCTGCGACAACGGAGGTCGGCGGCGAGCGAGGGGGGGAAGTGATAAGGGGCGGGCCGTCTCAGAAGGCTCGGAAGTCCCCCGGCCTTCTGAGAAGTTCTCTAAGCCCTCCCCGAAAACAGAAAACCTTCTCAGAAGGCGCGAGGGCTTCTGAGGAGTCCCGCCGTCTTCTGAGAAAGCCTTCTCCTTCTCACTTCCCCCCCTCGCTCGCCGCCAAGGAGGAGAGGGCTTAGTGGGCCCTGGAAACGACAGTTCCGTTTTATTACCGGTTCCGCTTTGCCGTTTTTTTTCCCGTTCCGTTGCCGTTTTTTGACCGGTTCCGGCTCCGATTCCAATCCAGGAGCCGTTTTTTTGCCGTTTCCGGCCGCCGTTTTTGTTGCCGTTTCCATGTTCAAGGGGCATTTTCTTGGAAACGGTGAAAAAACGGCCTTGCCGTTTCCGGGGCCCACAACGGTCGAGCCGCGCCCGACACGGCCGGCGCGCACCGCGGCCAGGCGCAGCGTGTGAGGGATGCAGTGCGTCATCGAGGCTTCGAGCAGAGGACCGACTGCAGAGTTTATGTGCCCCAGCATTGATTTTCTCGTCGAATCCAGGAGAGGATACGTAGCATGTTGGCAGGTCAACGGAACCATCGTCGCATTTTTCATGGATTCGACTGAAAAACACCAAGTCTGGGGCAGACCAATTCTGTAGTCGATCCCCTACTCGAAGGTTGCCCTTGCGCATCCTGTTATGTTCGGCCCTGCGCTTTGGCTTGCCGCCGTTGTCTCTGTCTGCAGCGTGAAACTCCAAGGGTCTTGCACCTGTGCTGTGCGTCCTCGCCCCTGGGCTCGACATGACTGTTGTCGGCCATTCAAGCTCATATGGGCACCGTCACTTTTTTTTCCGAAGAGTCGTCAAGCCATGTGTCCTCCCGGCATTTCCTCGTTCTTGCCCCTCGGAAGAGCATCGTGTCTTCTCGGGAGATCTCCCCGATCCGCGCCGATAAGACGGTTTGCGAGCCATGCAAAAGCGTGTTGTCTTTCTCCTTGTCCTCCTCCGCATCATCCTCGTGCTCCTCTGCCTCCTCCGCCTTCACTCCCCCTCCTCATCCTTCTCGCTCCCCCTCGCTCTCCACCATCTCGTCTCGTCCTCCACATATCCACCTCATCCTCCGTGCTCCCCTTTCCCTCCTCGGTCCTCTCCCACTGACTGCCCAGTGGCCCGTACCCAGTGGCCCGTAGCCCCTGGGGAAAATGGGTCCGGCGACCTCGAGGCCGAATCGGGCGGGCCAGTGACCCAGAAGTCCCTGCCACCACGGGCTCGCGGTTCCCCATCTTTCTCCTCTTTGTTCCGCCGCGCCGGAGAAGTACTGGCGTGGGAGAGGAGGACCATCAGAGGCGATGCGGATCTGACCCCCCCCCCCCCCTGGACCCCCCCCCTTCCGCCGGGGAAGGGACAAAGGGAAGAGGCTTCCCTTTGACGTACTGAGGACGCGGATGGAATTCCCTCAAGCTGGGAGCCCGTTCCCCGAACGAGGAGTGTTTTTTTTTCTCTCTCTCTCTCTCTCTCTCTCCCTCTACGCCTTCGCTTCTGGCGGCGGATTGTGACGACCACTGCTGCCCTGTGCCCCGAGGTCTTCCCGTGCGGGCGAACTCGGGAGCCGTCTCGTTCTGGCGTCCTGCCTCGTTCTCGGGGCTGGTTGCCGATGCCCCGGAAGCCTGGAGGCCTCTGCCGCCCCCGTCTCTCCTCCTCCTCCTCCTCCTCTTCATCCTCCTCCTCCTCCTCCTCTTCCTCCTCCTCCTCCTCCTCCTCTTCCTCCTCCACCTTCTCCGCCTTCTCCTCCTCCTGCTCCTCCTCCTCCTCCCTCCTCTCCTCCTCCTCCCTCCCTCCTCCTCCTCCTCCTCCTCCTCTCCTCCTCCTCCTCCTCCTTCCTCCTCCCTTCTCCTTGCTTTCTCCCTCCCTCCCTTTCTCCCTCCCTCCCTCCCTCCTCCACCTCCTCCTCGTCCTCCTCCTTCTCCTCCTCCTCCTCCTCCTCCTCCTCCTCCTCCTCCTCCTCCTCCTCCTCTCTCTTCCTGCTCCCGCTTTTTCCCCGCGCAGCCAAGACGCTGAGACAAGGACCGCATCGGGCTCCAGAGGGGCTCTCTAGTCTTCGGGCCGTTCCTCAGATCCAGGTGGGGCAGCCTATTCGCGGCCGAGGCTCGCCGTGGCCACAAGAGCAACATGACTGTAGCCGTCTGCGCTGCATGGGCCAGGGCGTAAGCAGCCGATGTGCGTGACAGCCGTCCTTGGCAATCACGCTGTCCACTCTCCCCCCGCGTCCACTCCCCCATCCTCCTCTCTTCCCTCGTGCCTCCTCCGTGAGCTTGCGATGCTCTCGGACTGGCATGGCGGCGGATATCCGCCACGGCATTCCGGAGTAATTCGTTGATGCTAGTTGCAGGTGAGTCTTTGCGTTCGGAAAAAAGCCGATTGGGCTTCAAGGATCGGCGACTACAAAGGGTGTGGTCAAGCCTGGGTGTGATTTGCCATCGGTGCCAGTGGGGCCCGGGGGGCACGACGCTGTCATCGTCGGGCCTCCTCGGGGCGTGGCGGAGAACGCTCTACTTAGAGGTATCCGCTGGCCCCTCCTGGGTGCCCCACCAGGGTGCCAGGGTGCCGATCGCAAACCGCACCCTCTGCCAACCACACCCTGCGGAGTCGCCGCAGGGAGGCCCCCCCCCCCCAGGCGGGTGTTGCTAGAAGTGCCCACGGCCCAAGGCGCCTCCAGAGGATTTCCGAGGAGGCCCCCCCGACCTCCAGAGCACCCCATCACGAGGCCCTGAAGGCCCCAGTGGCCTCCGACATCGTGCGAGGAGCCTGGGGCTCCCTGGGCCAGGGGGCACCTGTATAGCAGCCCCCCACCCTCGGCGGCTCCGGGGGCATGCACTGCTTCGCCTTCCTGCGGCGCTGCGGGCCGCGGGCTGGCACGCCGCCCCCACCGCCGCCAGCGCCGAGCGGCGATGAGGCAGGCGCCGAGCCGCAGCGCGGGCGCGTGACCTGCTTCGGGGAGGCCCTAGGGCAACGGCAGGTGCTCGGCATCGCTCGGACGTGTCCCTTTTTTGTCGGCGGGGATCATCGAGGAGCATCCTGGATCATCGAGCGAAAAAACACGCGCGAAAGCGATAAATGCACGGGGAATGGACGTCCGAGCGATGGCGAGGGGGGGGGATAGGCTCAGGGGCAGCGACAGGTGCGAGGATCGAGGCTCGCGCCCTGGAGGTTCCCGATCGTCCTGGAGCACTCTCCGTGGCCGTGGCTGGATCCGCCTCGGAGTTCCGGTCAGAAGGCATGCCAGGAGAGGTCCAGGGATAGATGTTCTTTCCTCAGGGGCAAGGTCACGGGGTGGTCGGCTCAGGGGGGAGCGCATCGACACCCAATCGCCCATTGATCGCCGATAGGGTCCGGACAGCTCCACCCTGCCCAGGATCGTGCGGAGTCGCGATCGGGGGCCTCTCGGCGCTCCACCGGCGATGTATCGCCGACTCGAGGTCGCTGTGTCCCCCCCCTGAGCCACCCCCAGGCTTCCTCCTCCTCCTCCTCCTCCTCCTCCTCCTCCTCCTCCTCCTCCTCCTCCTCCTCCTCCTCCTCCCCCTCCTCCTTCTCCCCCTCCTCCTCCTCCTCCTCCTCCTCCTCCTCCTCCTCCTTTCTGCCTCTCAGGCGATGATCCGCTACATCCCAGACTCCGACGAGGGGCCCGACCCGAGCCCCTTCGCGTCGCGGTGGCTGCAGAGCGCCGGCGGGGCCGAGCTGAACGTGACCGTGGCGCTCGCCCGGCTCGGCTGGCCCGGGCACTTGGCGCGGTGGGTCTCCGTGGTTCCCCGGGGCGCCTTGGGCGACCACTTCCTCTCGCTGCTGGCCCAGGCGTACCCCGACGGCAATCGAGGAGCGAGAAACTGCGCGAACGTAAGCAGTCGGCGCACCGCGCGGATGTCCTGGATCGGCGCCGGCCCCCCCTCCTGGCGGCGCCTCCAGCACCGCCCCTGGCGCGCTCCGCGCGCCGGGTGTCCAGCGCAGATCCAAGAAATCCGCGGGGAGCGCCACAAGTTCATGCTCACACTGTTTTCTGTTCCTATAGGCAAGGGGGAGGGGAACCTGAGCATGGTGAGGCGCGAGGAGGGGGACGTGGGCATATACCACGTCTGGCCCGCCAAGCACAAACTCTGGTACCAGCGCCACCGCTCCGCGTTCGGCCTCATGGACCCTGCCTGGTTCGGGGCGGCGTTCTGGGCCGAGATCCTCCAGGAGCCCGCCCCTGGAGGGGGGCCGGCGGTACTGCAGCTGACTGGCATCACCGCTCAGATCACCCAGAGCACGCGCGCGGCGTGGCAAAATGCTCTGGCAGCCGCGGCCGCGCACAAGAGGGCCGGCTGGCGGGTGGTGACGGTCCTCGACATCAACCATCGGCCCGCCCTTGGCCCCTGGGAGGACCTCTGGGCCCTGATAGAGCCGCATACGAGCGCCCTAGATCGGGTGTTGCCGCAGGTGTCCCTGGCCCGAGGTGTCCCTAGGATCTCCTGGGAGGGGAAGATGGCCTCCAGAGCACCCCTCGCTAGCCTGAGGGGACCTCAGAGCTCTAAAGCGGCGGGAGCGGCTGGGACACTTTGGGCCAGGACCATGTCTAGCAGCACCCGACAGTCGGGGAACAAATCATGTCATACACATAAATTGTCGGAGGTCCGCGCGGATCTCTTGGATCAGCGCTGCGCCCCCCTCCCTGGTGGCGCGCGGAGGCCGCCAGTGGTGGCGCCGAGGGGGACCGCCAGGGGGGTCCAACGCCGATCCAAGAACTCGTCGTGGACCACCGAAAGTTTATGCGGATGCGACTGCTTGTTTCTCGGCACAGACCTCCTCGTGCTCTCGGCCGGCGACCTCGCGAATCTGGAAGCCCGCTTCCAGATGCCGGCCCCGCCGGAGCCCGCGGAGGTGGGGCTCGCAGGCGCGGGGCTGCTCGACGCGAGCCTGCAGGACAGGCTGCGGGCGGTCGGGGCACGCCTGGGGGGCGCCGGCAGCCTGGCGCTGACGTGCAAGGTTCCCAGCCGCTCGAGCCAGGACAAATTCACGACGAGCGTTTTGCCGCTACTTTCGGCCTCTGGGGGCCCTTACCGGGCCCCGGGACCATGGAAAACCGACTCAGGGTAAGAAACGGATCTTGGGGAATGGGTTGGGATCTCGAAGTCGTGAAATTATAATGAAGATTGGGCTCTGAGTTCGGCTACATGTAAGAGTGACTCTTCGCCGCAACAACCTTTGGTGCGGGCCCACCAGGGTCCCCGGACCGTTGAACGCGGCTCGATAGCAGCGGCTTGCGCGCTTGTGTGTTGCCCCCTCCTGCGCCCCCCCAAAGCGCCGCCACAACATTCAAATAGATACGCGCCCTCAGAAGCTCCGCCACAACATTATTATACTATAGATCTATTTATTTATATGTATGCATACATACGTACATGCATACCTACATGCATTGACACATACATACGTACATGCATGCATGCATGCAGACATGCAGGCAGGCATGCAGGTATACATGCAGATATGCATCCGTACATACAGACATGCATTCATACCTACACGCATACAGATACTCATTCACGCGTACAGACATACCTACCTACCTACCTACCTACCTACCTACCTACATACATACATACAGACAGACAGACAGACAGACATACATACATGCATACATACATACATACGTATACGCATACACACAATCAGACATACAAACATGTCTACACACATACATGCATACATGCATACGTATATGTCTACCTACATGCATGCATGCATACATTGACACACACGTACATACATGCAACCATACATACACATATACACATTTACATACATACATATGTACACAGGCGCAGGCATGCATACGTACAAACGTAGATGAGTACACGCATACAAACATGCACACAACAATGCATCGACATTACATGCATACATACATATATGCATACAGACATGCATACACATGTACATGTGCATATACAACGTCGTTTGCATATACATAGCCGTATACCTATACGCATACGTATATCACAGAAGTGTAGACGTAAACCTATACACACTCATATACACATACACATACGCATTCACATACACATCCATATCCATATACGTTTATACACACATACATCAATGTACCAACTCGCTTTGCTTCGGCTTTCAAATCTTGGTTGCATGGCGCCAGCGAGGCGCGCCACGACTGGATGTCGCCAGCACCGCGGTGTGTTTCAGCAATGGTGCCCTTGGGGCACACGAGGCTGATAGGACCCATGGGCTCCTAAGGGTCAGAAGTCTGAGTGGCTTTCTGCCGCCAATGGGGCCCAACAACTCGAAGCGCGAATGTGGAAGCGGGGTACTTTGGGCAGCGCGGTTCCTGGGGATCAGGAGTTCCCGAGAGCCCGCAGCCGTACTTGAGTTCAGAGGGCTCCTCGGGCTGATGGGCTTATTTGGGCGTGGAGGCTCGCACGGGTCCTTTGCATCACAGAAGCCACTGGCTCTCGGGCCGCCCACAGCGGGTCGTCTCACAGGGCTCGTGAGATTCATGGGCCGGACTCATAAAGGGTCATTGTGCTAATCGGGTCACGTAGGCTCGTGAGGTTCAGAACGAATGGTCGGGGTCAGAAGGCTCCGAGGGCCGACGAGGTCATGGGGCTCATATGGCCCTCGAGGTTCTTAGGGGTCGCGCGGGCCGAAAGGCCCAGGAGGCTGACAGGGCTCGTAGGGCCCGTAGGCCTCATGAGGCCCATATGCGACATAGGGCCCGTAGGTCCCATTGAGCCGGTAGGGCTCATGGCTCGTCGGGATCATTGGTCTCATAGGGCCCATAAAGCCCATTGAGCTTATAAAGCACATGGAGTCCGCAGGGCTCACAGGGCTCTCAGGGCACATATGGCTACTAAGGCTTACATGTCTCATAGGCTTACAGGGGACATTGGGTCGACATGGGGACCTAGGACGCATAGGGCCCATAGGGCTAATGAGGCTCATAGGGCTCGTGGGGCTCATGGGGCTCGTAGAGATTACGGGGCCACAAAGGGCTCGTAGGCCTCATAAGACCCACGTGGCTCGTCTGAGGATAGATGTTGTTGCGTTTGGCTGGCGAGTATGCTGCCACGTGGAACGGCATGGATGTGGAGCAGGCGGAGGATACATATATATATATATATATATGTGCATATACACACATATATATATAGAGAGAGAGAGTGCTGTTGTGGAGTTCTCGCACGTACGCACCCCACTACCCCAACAGGATTGTGGGGGCTGGGATGCCCCTGTGCGCGCTTGGCGATGCCCGCGGCCCAGCCCCCCACCCTGCCGCGTTTGCGCCCGAGAGCGAGCTCCTTCTTCGAACGCGACCCCCGCGCAGCCCCCCCCCACACACACACACACACACACACACACACACACACACACACACACACACACACACACACACACACACACACACACACACACACACACACACACACACACACACACACACACACACACACACACACACACACACACACACACACACACACACACACACACACACACACACACACAAGAAGGGAGTGCGCTGGCGATGCGGCGCTGCACATCCACGGGGAATCGCTCCGCGAGAATGATTATTGCATCGTCGCCCCGCGACTGAAATATCGAGCGGAAATCCGTTGGCCATGCGTCGAGCGCGCGTCGCACCATGCGCGGTGGCACAGTAGCGCAACTTCGACGACCAAATTGTCCGCGCTCGTGTCGGACCTACTGGTGCGCCGCGTCGGCAGCTGGCTCGGCGACGCAATGGTCTGCGCTGTTGTCGGCACGCGGCGCCAAGCCGCCTCCTCGCTCACCACCTGGACGGCGCTCTCGCGCGCGAGCGAGCGAAGACTCGCGCGTCGCACGGGGGGCCCACGCTCGGAACGCCATGGAACGCGCTGGGGTCTGCGCGCGGCGCCACTCCGATTCCGGGCGTGACTGGCAAGCGCTCGAGCGCGAGGGCCCTCGCGCGGCGTCGGCAGCGTTCTCGGCAAGCGATGTTCGGAGGAGGAGGAGGAGGAGGAGGAGGAGGAGGAGGAGGAGGAGGAGGAGGGGGGGAGGGGAGGGGGAGAAGGAGGAGGAGGAGGAGGAGGAGGAGGAGAGAGGAGGAGGAGGAGGAGGAGGAGGAGGAGGGAGGAGGAGGAGGAGGAGGAGAGAGCTCGCGCGCAGCGCGCGCGGGGCTTGCGCCGCGCTGCGCGGCGGGCGACGCGGGAGCGCCCGCGGGCGCCACGGCGGCTGCGCCGCAGCGGAGGTCGCAGATGCAAGCTGTCGTTCCGCAGCCTCCGCCCGGGGGGGGGGCGGGGGCGCGTGAGAGGACGTCGGCTGCGGCCGCTGTGTTTGCGCTAAGAGGAGGGGGAGGGAGGGACGGACGGACGCCGGAGGGAGGGAGGAGGAGGAGGGGGAGGAGGAGGGGGAGGGGGAGGAGGAGGAGGAGGAGGAGGAGGAGGAGGAGGAGGAGGAGGAGGAGGAGGAGGAGGAGGAGGAGGAGGGAGGAGGAGGAGGAGGAGGAGGAGGAGGAGGGGTCGGCGCGCGGCGCCGCGCCGCCTCGCCTTCCTGGTTGGCGTTTGCGCGCGGGGGGGCGGCTCGCGCGTCGCCATGGTCGGCTGCATCCTGGAGCGCACCGCGTGGGGCCGGGGCCAGCGCCCGGCGCCGCTCCCACGTCTCGCGCGGAGGTCGGCGCGCGACACAGCGTCAGTTGCAGTCGCCACGCAGACGCCGCGCGGGGCAGGGAGTGGCCGCGCGAGAAGACTCCAGCGGAGCGCGCCGCGCGCGAGCGCGGCGCGCCGAAGCGCCCCCGGGGCGCGCCAGAGCGCGCCGCCCGCGCGAGCGGCGGGCACGCGCGGAGCCGCCCGCGGGACGCGCACAGAAGGCGCCACGCGCGAGCGGGCACACGCGAGAGAGCCCGCGGGGCGCGCCAGAGTGCGCCGCGTGCGAGCGGGCAAGCGCGAGAGCGCCCTCGGGGCGCGCCGATGACTGCGGTGTGCGAGCGGGCGCGCGCGAGAGAGCCGTCGGGGCGCGCCAGAGCGGGCATGCGCGGATGCGCCCTCGGAGCGCGCCAGGGTGCGCCGCGCGCGATCGGGCATGCGCTAGAGCGCCTTCGGGGCGCGCCAGACTGCACCGCGCGCGCGCGGGCGCGCGCGGGAACGCCCCCGGAACGCGCCGAAGCGCACCGCGTGCGAGCGGGTGACCACGAGAGCGCCCTCGGGGTGCCGGGGGAACCGCCCGGGGCGCATTCCACTGCCCGGCCCTTTAAGCCTCAGAGTAAGAACCCTTCTAGGCAGAGCCTAGGTAGGGAAATAGGAAGAGGAGAACACAGACACCCTCCAATAGATTGTTCCTGGGCCTCACAGGAGGGTGGCGGTGAATAAAGCGCCTGTACGAGCCAGCTTCTTTACACGTCACTACTCCCCCTGAAGGTACACCACACAAAGTTCGTCAGACGGTGTCTTTATGTTCATCTTCCTATGTTTTTGCAAGCCGGGGGTGCGGGAGAACCTTCCCCGCCCCAAAAAAAACCGGACCCCCGGGATCTTGGGTTGTAGCGCCCCTCTGGACGCCCTTCGAAGAAGGTCCCCCAGACCTGCCGCGCCTCCTATGGCGCCTGGCCAGGCCTTGCCCAGCAGACCCAAAGCGAACAGAGAAGCCCCAAGACAGAGCAGGACGGCCTTAAGACGGCCTTCCAGATCCACAAGACGGCCCAAGAGGCTTCCAAGATGCCTCAAGAGGCCGTCATGAGAGCCAACTAGAGGCAAACATCTTCCCAGTCCTTTCTGAGAAAACGTATATGTTCAGTATGTTCGCTTTGTGCGTCGTAACAGCGTCCGCGACGACCCACGAGGCCTCCACGGCCCAAGAGGGAGCTCAAGAGTGCCCCAAGACTACCCCAAGACGGCCCAACAAAACACAGCTCACGAGGCCCCCAAGAGCTCCCAAGAGAGGGCCATGGGAGGCCCCCAGGAGGTCCCAAGATGGCCCCAGGAAGGCCCGTAGAGGGCCGAAATTCCCCAAGAAGGTCCCAGCACGGTCCAGGGGACCAAGACTGCCCAAACAGGCTTCAACATGACCTCCAGGACTGCCCAGAGAGGTGCCCAGGAGGCCTCTAGATGTCAACAGGTCACCAAATCCTTTGAGAGACATTCGCGAGGTCCTCCAACGAGGGGCCTCTGCAAAAAAATCTGCGGCAGGCGGCGAATGGTTCGCAACGCCATGTGAGAGCGAGGATGAATGAGAGAAACGATGCGGAACGATAAGGCGTGGCACGCGATTTTGGTTCAAGGTTTCGTGGGGAACTTCAAGGTGGCGTTCTCGTCGCCACGTCATCGGTCCCGCCTCGAAATCCGAATCAACACGCACCCCAAGATAACTTCGTGTGGCACACGAACATGTAAGACGGGGGCAAGAGCAAATAAGGAACGGGTACGGGAACTTGAAACATACTTGCCAAATTTCTGAGGCCATAGAGGACGACGCCCAGTGCCAACAGATGCGAAGCTTGAAGGATCAAGGTGCGTGGCGCGACGCGCCAACAAAGCCCTGTGTATATACACACAGTTATATGTGTAGATATAGATGTAACTATAGATATGCAGGTAATATATATACACGTATATACGTACAGCAGGTCGTGGCGTACGCCCTGGAGAGACGCACTACATGCCACTCTTGCCCAGTGTCTCTCTCGGCGCGTGTAGCCTTCCAGAGGTGAGGGAGCCAGGGCCCGCGCCCGCGCTCCAGCTGCGCTGGTCTATTCGGAGGGCACCACCTGAGGCGTTTCAGAGAGGGCCTCGCCTTCGAGTGTCGAAGGATTGTGGTGTATCAACACCGCCGCCCCCCGGAAGGTACATGCACAAATTCGTTGGAGGGTGCCTGTGTATGTGTGGCGTGGATTTGGCACCTCGTCCTCGGCGGAAGGCTGGCGGAAGGTGGCGGAAGTAAAATGAGGGTGCTTCCGCCAGTGGAAGGCCAGCGGAAGTAATAATCGCCCGCCGAAGACATGGCAAGGTTTTTGTTGGTCCAGGGTTTCCGAAACCCGCCAACTATATACACCTACACCGATCTTGACCAGGCCGATAGTGTTCAGGCTATGTAAAGTGTGCCTTCCTGCTCAGGCCTGGAGGGCGTATATACATTGGAGGCGACCAGGGGAGAGCATGCTGCTACGCATGACATGAGGCTATGATGCATCTCTTGTTCTTGAGTTGGCTATGATGCCCATTCGTGCCCACCCCGTCCCGTCTTCAGGAATTTTGCATCCCCTATGATGGTGGGGTGGAAGACGAGCCTCCACCCCTGGCACTGCACGTATGGTGCCACTTTCGCAGGGATTTGCCATGGTAGCCCTTATGGTGGAAGCTGCGGAGGGTGTGAGGCCTCATGGCGGCCCTCACTGGTAATGCGTGTGATGGTCCTCAACGGGGAGAGGGGAGAAGGATATCATCTGAGAAGGGCAGCGTGAAAAACTCAATCCTCCGCCCCAGCCCAGGCACGGGAGAACCCGCAGTCAAGAGGAGCGGGTCCACATGCGGGAGGCACCGCAAGGCCGCCGCCACCTCGCGGCGCCACGCCACCTCCAGAACTGGAGGAGCCCCGAGAAGATCTGTCGAGATGGGGGATAGGGCAAATGCGCTCAAAATCGGACCCCAGAGTCCATTCTGGTGCAGTTTTCCACCCCGGATCCGTTGTTGCTTTTCCCCGGAGGCTGAGAAGGCAAATCACCTTCCAGAACCCAACCCCCCACCCCCTCCTGCACGCCAGAACAGGGGCTGGGCCACCGCAGACCCCCAGCCGGCCCCAATATCTACCGATCCTGCCACCAGAAGCCAGGATTCGGCGTCACCCCAACATACTAATACTAAGTGTGCGTCGCCCCCCCAGGGGCGACGCGCGCACGGAAAAATCTTACAGTATATGCGTCGAGGCGGGCGCTTTCTGGCCACACCGCTCGGGAAGCGATATACTACACGATGGGTATACTATAATGTTCGGGTCGGACGCGCGCCTCCAAGGAGGACATATGGTGCTAGCACGTCCCTGTGCGTCCCACGTACAGTTGGTGCCCTCCGATCCGTGGTCTGCTTGCCGGACGGTGCCGTGGTGTCCTCGCTGCCCTGGGCCGTACGGCAGCGGCCCGTGGAGGAGATCGGAGGCGGGGACTCCTGGCTGTCGGGCACGATGGACGGGCTCGTGGGCTCGACGGGCCCCGCGTCGGAGGCGCCGCGCTGGGGCGCGGGGACGTGGCTGGGGGCCATCCGGCAGGGCGACATGCTCGCCACCCTGAAGCAGAAGGTGGCCTGGGGGCCTCTGCAACCCAGACCTCCACATATATCTTGACGAGAATCAAGGCCGAGGGTTTTCATCGTTTTCGGTCTCCGAGGGCCCTCCCCGGGCCCCAGGACCGTCAGAGAACGACTCCAGAAGACAAGCTGGCCTTGGGGGTCCCGACTGCCAGGGACCCCGCATTGAAAAATCGAGACATCAGATCTCTTGCACCGCGGAAGGCTACAGGTGGCGCGCAGGGTCACAGGTCGAATAGTTAGGGGATCGGCTACAGAATCGACTCGCCCAAACATTGATTTGTTAATCGAATCCTTGAGAAATTCTTAGACTTTTCGCAGATCTATGAGCAGTCTGCGTATGACCCGACGAGGAAAGCACTCTTGCTAGCCTCGTCAAAAATAAACAGAAGACTTCTGAATTCGGTCATTGTGGGGTCAGCGCAACTCCAATGCCGACGGGTCCCTGTTGACTCGGACGCGGTGTTGTCCAAAAACCGGCCCCACCCCCTCAGCATTGAAGGACGCGCTTTTTGACAGGTGCCCGAAAGCATCGTGCCCCAGGATTTCAACTTCCCTTCCTGGATTTTTTTGACGAGGCTTGTGGGGTGCATCGATTCTGCAGCCGACCCCCTGCTCGAGGCCGGATATCTTTGACGAGGCTTGACTCGTTCGTCGAATCCCCCAGCCATCCGTAGACTTCTCGCACATCCGTGAACAGTCCGCGCACAGCCCGACGAGGAAATCCATCCTGCAGGCCTCGTCAAAAAATCAGCAGGAGACTTCTGCATTCGGTGATCGTGGGGTCAGCGCTGGCTCTCGGCCTCCCCTCATTCAGGAGGAAAAGAAACACACAGACACAATTAATCTTTGATTTCCCAGAAAATATGGGAAAATATGGGAAGTGGGGGGGAAGACAAAAAACCCAAAAATATATGAAAATATGGGGAATATTTTTATTTGTGTGTATTTATTTGTGTGTCCTGGGGCCCCTTCACTCATGGATACCTCTGAGGAGGCTCCTGTGGACGCTCTGCGCGCGGCCCGGCGAGGAGATCCCATCCCGGGGGTGCCATCGACTCCGCAGCCCACAACCCCCCTTTTCGGGCCGGGGAGGGGGGCCTCGCCGACTCCCGGTGCCTGGAGGAGGAGGAGGAGGAGGAGGAGGAGGAGGAGGAGGAGGGGGAGGAGGAGGAGGAGGAGGAGGAGGAGGAGGAGGAGGAGGAGGGAGGAGGGGGAGGAGGAGGAGGAGGAAGGAGAAGGAGGAGGAGGAGGAGGAGGAGGAGGAGGAGGAGGGAGGAGGAGGAGGAGGAGGAGGAGGAGGGGGAGGAGGAGGAGGAGGGAGGGGGGGAGGAGGAGGAGGAGGAGGAGGAGGAGGAGGAGGCGGAGCAGGGGAGGGGGCCTCGCCGCCTCCTCGGCGAGGCCCTCGGGCGCCCTCCGCCTGCTCGGGAAGAGGGCCACCGCCGCCCGTCCCGCGGGGCCCGCGCTGCGCGGAGGGGGGGCGCCCTTCGAGCAGGGCTAAGGTCGGGCATGTCCCTCTGCAGGGGGGATGTTCAAAAGTGGTCACAAGATAGTCTTTTTTTTTTTTTTGATTTTTTTTTAATTATTATTTTTTGATTTCAAAAGTGGACTATTTTTTGATTTTTTTTGGGGGGGGCATTTTTTGCGTCTGTTTCACGTTTCGCCCAAACTTCCCCCTGTAGGGGGACAGGCCCGACCTGAGAGCAGGGGATCGATCGCGGAACTGATCTATACCCCAGAATGGGTTGTCCTCGTCGAATCCACGGGCAACTCGCAGAACCTTCGCATCTCTGCGAATACTCTTCGCATCTGTGTTGGAGAGTCGACGTGGAAATCAAGGTTGAGGTGAAAAGCAAACCTGCAGTCGATCCCCTACTCGAGCCATGGGACCCACCCTGGAGGGGCGGGCTTCCTGCGGCCTGGCGGTGTCCGCCCCGGGAGCCTCGGGGGCCGTGCCGGGGCGATCTCGAAGGGCCTCCTGGGCCGTCCTGGTCGCTCCTTGATGAGAAGCGGGGGCGGGAGCCCCCGGGCGATAGCTGGCAGGGCTCGTTTCGATTCCTCCGATTCGATCCGATTCGATTTCGCTTGATTCCGATTCCGATTCGATTCGACTTTGGATTCCGATTGGGGTTCTGATTTCCTATTGGACGCACACTGGCCTGCCGATTTATGCCGATTCGGCTTTTCCCGACTCGGCTGCCGATTTCCGCCGATCCGATTCATGTCGACTTCCGATCCGACTTGTCGATTCGATTCTGAGGTCCCCTGGCTGGCTAGGCCCGAGACCGAGGTGGTCCGCAAGGCCCCAAGGCTGCTTCAGGACTGGCCTCGGGACCACCTCAGGGCGTGCCCGCCCGCCTATGTCCACAACTGCCTCCGGCCCCAGCCTTCCGCCCGCGCGTTCGTCGTCCACCTGCCTGCTCCTCGCCTCCTCTCCCAGCGGAGGGCCAGCTGAGACCAGGCCTGCCGGGGGAGGGCGGGGCCCTCGTCGCCACGGCTGGACGCAGCTCGGACACCTGGTGCGTTTCGGACCCCAGGAGGGGTCCTTCGAGGCCGTCTCGTCATGCAGCAATCGCGCTACTTAAGAGGCATCAGGAACGCTGAATCTGGAACGACGGGGCTTTTCAGGCCACGGCGAGCCTCGGCCGCGATTGGGTTCCGAGGGAACGGCCAGGAGACCAGAGCAGAGCAGCCCCTCCCGAGCCGAAAGAGGTCCTTGTTGTGAAGGCCTTACAGCCGGGGCCGCCGACCTTGAAGGCGGGACCTCCCCCAGGACCCCCGCTGCCCCCCCCCCATCGGAACTCGCCTGGACCCCAGAGGGGGTGGTTTTCCGACCCAGGGCCACCCTCCCCCACAACCTCCTGGACCCCCCCAGGGGCCCCCCCCTGTCCTCCTTGTTCAAAGGGGGACTGGGGAGGGGAGGGGGGGCCGCCGGGACCCCGAGGGGGGAGGCGGTAATCTGTCCCGTCCCAGGACCACCCCCCCGTACCACCTCCCCATACCCTCCCGTACCCCCCCCGCCGTACAACATCCCCTCCGTCAGGGAAGGGAAAAATGAGAGGGAATCTACTCAACTACGACGTTCTATCTTCTCTGTTCGTTCCTACTTTTTTAAGGCTGGTGACGGCGACGACGACGACGACGACGACGATGGTGACAGCGTCTCACACACGACGAAGGGTCTGCGGATTCCAGCATCTTGACTAAGGGGCGTCGGGCGTGCTGGAGGTTTGTGATTTCGAGTCGCGCCCCCAGGGCCTAGGAGAAGGTCGCGCGGGGAGCCCCAGATGCGCGCGCGAGTGCCCGGGGCGGCCCGGATGCTGGGCCCTCGGAGAAGAAGTCGGCGTGCCAGCGGATGCCCCGCGGAGCTCGCTCGTGCCCCGAGGACCGCAACGAAGTCCTGGGGCACCCCGCTCCACGTAGCACCCTCGGAGATCGGGGAAGACGTGACCCTAACTAGATTTGTTGAGGCCAGGCTTGTTATTGTACGTATACGTCGCGCTTACAATCCTCAATATTGAGGACTCGCAGGGGGCCTGTGGACAATACAGTCGGTGCATGCACTGTGGCAGATGAGGAGGAGAGACGAAGGAGGAGGAGGAGGAGGAGGAGGGAGGAGGAGGAGGAGGAGGAGGAGGAGGAGGAGGAGGAGGAGGGGGGAGTGAGGTAGGGAGGAGACGGTCACGGAGGTGAAGGAGGACGAGGAAGGCGGACGGAGGAGGGGGAAGGCACGGAGGAGGAGGGAAGGAGGGGGAGAGGGAGGAGGTGGGAGGAAGGAGGGAGGGAGGGAAGGAGGATGGGAGTGAGGAGGGGGAGGCTGGAGAGAGGGAGGGAGGGGGGGAGGATGCTGCAGGGAGGAGAAGACGACGTTGAGAAGGAGGAGGAGGAGGAGGAGGAGGCAGGAGGAGGAGGAGGAGGAGGAGGAGAGGAGGAGGAGGAGGAGGAGGGAGGGAGGAGGAGGAGGAGGAGGAGGAGGAGGAGGAGGACATGCAGGTGGAGGAGGAGGGGGAGGACACAAAGAGAAGGAAGGAAGGAGGATGAGGAGGAGGCGGAGGCAGAAGGTGGTCGGGGACTTCTGCAACGTGGAGCGCGGCGAGCTGGACGCGGCGCTGCGGGCCCACGCGGCCGACCCTGGGGCGGAGGTGTGAGACCGCGGCTGGCGCCAACCGCGCCAGCCCGGTGCCCTCGGGCACAGTCAAGCAGGATCGCAAGGATGGACTACGCTCGGGGACTTTTGGCTCGCGTGTCCCGCCGATTCTGGCCCACCGCGCCTCGGCGCGATGCGCCATTCGCCCCGAGCGTCCACGTGCCGAGCTGTTGCCAGCCGCCCGCCCGGCGGACCGGGGCGACACGCCATCCGTTGGCGAGGCATGGCGTGTCGCCAGGGCCGCCGCCGCGACAGGCCAAGCAAAAGTTCCTGACCATCTGTTTTTCAGCGGAGGGCGAGCTGAGACAACGGAGGCCAGCCTTTGGGTGGGGGCCCTCGCCGCCGTGGCTGGACGCAGCAGGAGACACCGGTGCGCTCGGGCCCCGGGGGGCGTCGGGGGACCGCTTTGGAGCTGCCGTTCTCTCAAGGCGCCCTTGCCCCGAGGCATATGGAAAGGATTACCGTCAAATACCTTAATAAGGACGCGCGACTTTGCTCAGGGTACCCTTGCGTCCTTGCTCTTCCTTGCTCTTGCGTCCTTGGGGTTTTCGTCGTCCGCCTCCCCAAAAATCCCAACTTCGGCTTCCAAGGGTCTTGCGTCCTTACCGCGCGTCCTTATTAGGGTTTTTGACTGTATCTCAGTGCGCCCTTGCCCCGAGGCGTATGGAAAGAATTGCCTTGACAAGGGTTGAGGTTTTGCCCATGTTTGCCGGAGGGTTGGCCCCGGCAATTCTTCGGCTGCTCCTCCGTAAGGCACCGTTCTCGAACGGCAGCGTTCCACCCTTGCATCTGCGACCCGTCTTTGGCCACTATCGCTGGCCATGCTCGCTCAGACGGCCTCAGCTTGGGCTCCAAGGGTCACGGCTTCGTACCACGCATCCCTGTGATCCTGTCGCGCTGCATCCCGGCGGCGCACACCCAGATCGCAGACGTCGCGCCTTGACCCTAAATGTTGGAGTTTTGCCCCACCCGTAGGCCTCCGAAGGTCCGTTTTGGGCCTTGGGGCCCTCAGAACACGTGTGCCCGCGGGTTCCGTGCTCGAATCAATTAGGAATTGGGGCGCCGGGGTTTGGGAGGGGGGCGTGGCTAGGGCGGTCCCCTCGAAGAAGCCCCCCGTCTTCTTCAAAGCCCGCTCCCTCGCCACGCCTTTGTCTGCACGCCGCCGAGTGATCTTTGTGCCCCTCCCCTTCTCTCTCTACTCTCTCTTGTCGCCCTTCTGCCCGTCCCTCCGCAGGCGCTGCCGCCTCCTCCGCCTCTGCCTCCTCCTCTGCCTCCTCATCCGCCGCCGCCTCCTCCCCCTCCCCCCTCCTCCTCCTCCTCCGCCTCCTCCTCCTCCTCCTCCTCCCTCCTCCTCCGCCTCCTCCTCCTCCTCCCCCTCCTCCTCCTCCTCCTCTCTCCTCCTCTCCTCCTCCTCCTCCTCCTCCTCCTCCCCCTCCTCCTCCTCCTCCACCGCCCCGTCCTCTCCCCCCTGCTCCTGCCCCCTATTGCCTCCTCCTCCTGCTCCTCGGACTCTCCTCCTCGCCTCGCCCGCCCGACCCTCCCGCTGCTCCTCGCCGCCTCGGCGGCCGGCACCCGCGGGGGGCGCGGCCCCGGCCCTCCGCGGCCCCTCCCCGCCGCGCCCCCGCAGAGGGCGCGGAGGAGGGGCACAGACCCCGCCCCCGTGCGTGCGCGCCGGGAAGATCAGCGAGCGAAGAACGGTATAACAGAATTTTTGTTTCGCTGTCGGGGGCGCCCTGTCCCTGGGCGGCTGGAAAGTTTATACCCAGCGAAAAAGTTTATTTTATACCGTTCTTCGCCCGAAAAGAAGAGGCCGCGCGCGCGCGTCGCGAGGCGCCGTGGGCATTTTCATGCGGTGCCCCGGTTCGAGCAGTGGCGAGGCGCCTCGGGAGCCTCGAGACGGGGGTCAATGCGAACGGGGGTCAGCCGGAGCGCCAGATCTTGCAGGATCCTGCGAAGATCCCCTCTGGCTGACCCGGGTTAGCGAGCCGCTCGTGGCCGCGAGGCGGCCGCGCATATTGGCTGACCCGGGTTTGCGAAGACCTGCGTTGCAGGTTTTTTTTCCTGCATTGCAGTTTTTGTTGGTTTCCTGCTGACCCGGGTCTGGATTGACCTGGGTCAGAAGATCCCCGAGCGTCTTGGCTCAGCCCTACCAAACAGTGTTCCAAGAGCCGTTTGTGGTGTCCACGGAATGTGCTTAGCACATCTCTGGCGGAGTCTGTCTTGTCTTATCACATCGGGTTTACGTACGTTCTAAGAACTTTGTTTTTGTTCTTACAACATTTTTGGTTTCTAAGAACATTTCGTGGTAGGACTATAGGAATGCCGGGACGGTCGGTCCCTGCTCAACCGGTCCTCTCGAGCCTCCGCCTGCTCCTCGTCCTGATTCGAAGAGCAAGAAACGGCAAAAGCATTAACTTTTGGCGGTCCAAGCAAGTTGTCTGAATCTGCGCTGGGGCCCCCTGGCGCCGCCCCTGACGCGGAGAGGGGCCCAGCTAAGATCCAAGAAATCCGCGCGGACCGTCAAAATTTTATGGTTATGCCGTTATTCCACTTCCTCCTCTCAGTCGTCCTCTTTATCTTCCTCTCCGCCGTCGCCTTCCTCCTCGTCCTCCTGCTCCTCCTCTTCTTCCTCCTCTTCCTTCTTCTCCTCCTGCTCATCTCGGCTCTGGGATTGGGAAGGGGGGCTGTGCAGGGGCAGTGCAGCTGGCTTCGGCCGGCCCCGCGGCCGGGCCCCTTTTCCCTCGTCACACTGGCGCCTCTGGCGCCAGGAGGCGCCGAGAGAATCAGCTGCTTGAGCTGATGCGCTAACGCCTCCTTTGCTATGCCTCCCCTTTCGTCCGCCCCGATCATCCTCACCCGGCTTCTCCTCCTGAGCATCCTCTGCGGGGGCCAAGCAGTGCGGTGTGGTGAGTCAGTGGGGATTCGGGATGACCGCACGGTTCTGGGACTTCGACCTTTTTCTAGGCTGATTCAGGCGACCGGGGCCGCCGAGGTCCTTAAGACCGTGCGATGACGGACCGTGCGGTGAGCCCAGGTCTCCCAGGTCCTCCTCATCCGCCTCTCCAGCGTCGCCCTCGTCCTGGTCCTTGTTCGTCATCCTTCTCCGCGCCCGCGTCCCGCTCCCTAGCCCCTCTGGCCTCCTAGCTCGGCGAGTTCGCCTCTGTCATCCGTGGTTCTCCGTCGCCATCATCGGAGGCCTCAAGAGGCCTCTCTGGAGGTCCCTGGAAACTCCCAGGAGGTCCAGCCTCCGAAGGCCTCTGGAGGCCAGGAAGGTCGGAGCTTCAAGCGAGAAAGCCAAAACAACACGTTCTGTTTCTTCGAGCGACCCCCGCTCCCGAGAGCGCGAGGCGGGTTACCCAGGGAGCACGGGGCCCCCTGGCGCAGCAGCAGAGCACCACTCCCGGTCCTCGAGCACTTCAGCTGAGTCAGTCAGCACGCTCCAGGCAGCCCCGCCCGACGGCCCGCTCCGGCCCCCCCCCCCCCCGCCAAATCCCCCCCCCTCGAGCGATCCACGACCCCCCACGCACCGCAAACGGCAGCCACGCCCCCACGCCCCCACGCCCCCCAGCTCACTCCCACGCCCCCAGGCCATCCCCCCCCCCCCCACACGCCTGTTGAATAACCTGGGGCATTGGGTCTCCATCGTCCCCCCCCCCCTCCTCCTCGACTCAACCCCCTCCATCGGGAGGTCACGTGGATGACGCAGACGGAGAGGGAGAACTTCTCGCTCCGTGCCGCCACCCGTCCCGCCGCGCTCCCCGCCCTTCGAGGGACGACGGCGACGACGACGACCACGACCACGACCACGACCACGACCGCGACGACGACGACGACGACGTTGACGACGACGACGACGATCACGACCACGTCCACGTCCACGACCACGACCACGACCACGACCATGAGTACGACCACGACCACGACCACGACCACGACCACGACCACGACCACGACGACGACGAGGACGACGACTTCGGAGACGACGGTGACGAGAAGGTCGTGCACGTCGGCGTGGGCGCTGTCCTCCTTTTCCTTCTCCTCTTTATCTTCCTCCTCCTCCTTCTCTTCCCCCATCCAGCTGCTGATCACCCCGCTTCAGCGGCGGGAGGAGGAATAAGTGGGTGATCCGTAGCCATGGTGGCTCAAGTCCGTGTTCTGGATTCAGCCCCGGATCTGAATCTTTGCTTGGACTATTCTGGCAGCTTTCACGACCACAGAGGAGACTGCCCTTCCACGGGTATCCAAATCGTTTCTTTATCGCCACCCTGGCCACGCCAGGGCATTGTTCAGTCCGATCAGTGTAACTCTCTCCTTCGGATTCGTTTGCAGACGCAACTGCGTTCGGCAATGGAGTAGGACTCGCGCTGGTGCTGAGAATATTTAGAAGTATGTCCCAGAGCCTGTCAGGCGACGCTCGTGTGGCAATGTGTGGGGCCAGCATCGAGACAAAAGCAAACATCGCCGATAACCAAGTCGCAGGAGTGGGCCAAGCCGCCGCCTGGAGCCGAGTCGAAGGCGGCAAGAGGAGTCGGCTTCCACCTGGGCGCGTCCCGCCCCGAAGCCTGGCTCCATCACTACGAATGACGTGCTAGCCGTCATGCAGACAACTCTATTGTGGATTGGCTCGCGGCTCAGACTCATGCCGAGTGCCTCCCGCCACCCACGCTGGCGGTTCAGATTACGAGGTACAAGCAGGATCTCAATACCTCTCTACATGTTATTGCGACTCTCCTGGTGGCTATACCAGGAAGACTGCATCCACCGACGATCCACTTGTTGCCGAGATCTTCATGACCGTTTACTCTTTCAGCGCCCTGCAGCCGTTCAGGGGTCGCACCACCGAGCTCCAAACACACATCGTCCACGGGCGCATTTCTCCGCGGCAAGAAGAAAAGCAGGACATCGAATATCCGATCATTGCCATGGAGCAGCACATGAAATAACTGAAGGATCCGGAGGTAGAAGGCAGCTGCCGCAGCCAACAGCTCACGGAGGCACAGAGGCAGCGAATTCAGCCATAATTCCGACCTGGGCTCAAATGCGCCATGGAAGTCCGCAGCAGATCCACGCCATGCATCAGGTCATGCGCAAGACGGTGGTCATCCAAAATGCAAAGGTCCCACGGGCAAGGGCCCGCCAACGACATGATCACTTTCGGCTCGCCGATAGATGAGGGGCGCAGCCAGACCGACGCCAATATAGCCGATCGGCGTGGGCGATCTCGAGGAGTCTGGACTGAAGCAGGCCAACGACGACACGCTCGAGCCTCAAGTGAACCGGGCACGCCTTCCAGCTCAAGATGGCCCACCAACTCAGTTATTGCTGGGGTCTGCCTCTGGGGGGCCCGTTGCATTTCAGCTTATCGGTCTTCGTCCTACCAGTCCCGTTTCACCCCGGACAGCATGGAGAGATTCGTATTCCATCGACCCCGCTCGCGCCCACGGAGATTGCAAGTGGCTGCGTCGCAGGCAGCAGAGCACATGGCAATTCAGACTGTGGCCGGGATTACCCCACAAGGGTCGGAATTGTCCCCGACGCGGACATTCGGGTTCCAAGGAGCTGCGCTCTCGCAGGAGACGCCGCGGAGCCATGGCCCGTCAGCTCTCGGCAACGCGCATCTCAAGTGCAGAAGGAGTCGATTCCAGGACCCGCCACTGCATTGTGAGGTAAGAATGGAACCTCGCCCGCGCTGGCTCCAATTCGCTCCGTCGTGGAATCGTGACTGGACCATCTGGAGACAGCTTTACTCAGCCTCGGGGCGGGCAGGGATCGAGCCAACCCTCGGGTGAAAACGAGCCTCGGCATGCTCGGCATTGATAGCGGCGCCATCATGGACTGGGCCCTCACATCCTCTTCTTGGGGCAAAAGCCCACCTCCCCAGCTCCCCTGTGGCAAGGGCCCCGCTCGCGTTCCCGATGACGGGCCCATGTGGTTGCCCCCCCGCCACCGGCGCCAGCGCCCTCCCCACGCTGCTGGCGCGCGAGGGGCCCAAGTGTGGACTCAACAAAAGCGCGCGCTGTCGCTCAGCACGCGGCGAGGTCCCAGATGGCCCGACATGTTTAACCGAAGTGGTTGCGGAGCTTGCTGGGGCATTCGCGCGCGTTCCCGCGCTTCGCTCCTGCCTCGCGGTTGCCTCGCCCCCCCCTAGAGCCCCGGGCGAAGATGTCGCGTTCGCTCAGCCGACCGACGCCGCAGAAGGCTCGAGCCTTTACCGAGGATCCACAGATCCCACGTGAATGGGCATGGGCATGACGATCACCCATGGAAGCCCTCGCTGACAAGGTTGCTAAAGTGGCCATGCTACAGGAATCCACCCCGTCGATCTTCAACCAAAACTGGTGGGCTCTCACTGCGCGTAGCAAATCTATAGAATAGGGGTGGTTGTTCGATCTGCCTTTGGGGGAAAAGCTGCCCGCCCTGGCTCTGAAGCTCGCGGCAACGAATGATCGGGCGATGGCCCCCCTGACCGCGCCCGCCCTCCCCCCGTCCCAGCAGCCAAGGTGGGGGGCGTCGAAGTGACGTCGAAGGAAATGAGGCAGCTTCCAAACATGTTGATCGACATTTATCAGCACAGCACTCGCGCTATTCCTGTTTATCAGAAGAAGCCCCCCCTCGCCCACGTCGAGAGCGCGCGAGCCCATCGCGCGATATAATTTCCAGGAAGTCGGGGCTCGCGCGCGCCCGGGAAGCCCGCGCCCATGCTGGATCCGAAAACACATGGCCGACCCGCATGTCCTGACCTTTATTATCAGCCCCGTCAGATCCTTGGTTTTGTCCAGTACAAATTCCCATGGGCTCATTCAAACAAAAAACCTTTCGCACATTGGGGTCTGGACAGACGCCGCGACGGTGCGTCGGCGTTTTTTGTTTGTTGGACATGTTCAGGCCCGTCGCTGTTGATCATTTGTTTAGCTAGAGTCGTTTTTTTGTACACCGAATGCTGTCCCCTGCCCCCCTCGCCGTCTTCGCCCCCGCTTTTGCGCGTCTGCCGCATTTCTCCCTCTCGGGGCTAACGGCCAGCAAACCGGTCGAACGGAAATGTCACAGGCATGAAGCAGGCTCAGGGCCCCGATTGCCCTAGGGGCGGCAATCGGCCATCGGGCCCGCCAGCCTGCGCGCCAGGCAAGGGACTGCTTGCCGGGAGAAAGACTGAGGACGTCGCAGACGGCAGCGTTAAACTATGCAACCAACTAACCTGGAAACGCTACAATGCGTTGCGGGAAATTAGAAGAATAATATTTAGCTCGGCGCTTTGCGTCTTTGGCTGGAGTCTAAAGACGCCGAGCGGATCGCTTCCGACGCGCCGAGGTAACGCTGCTGTTGCATGCGTCTAAAATCTGGGCACATTCAAGAATAACCCAGGCCACATCAAAGTTCTCGAGGGCGCCCGGGCCCCTGGCCGTGAGCGCGCAGGCCCCCGGGGGGCGGTGGCTTGCGCGGCCCATGCTCCTCACTCCGGTCACGCGCAGACAGCGATTAGAGGTCGTTGGAAAGATTTCGACGAAACTCGCGCCACCTGGCCGGTCCGCTGGTCGACGACGCTGCAGGCGCGGCTCGAAAAGCAACGCTTCGCCACGGCCTCTGGCCAGCGCCAGGAAGAAGACCCACTGGGCAGCGAATTCCAGGACGCCGAAAGAGTATGAGCCGCGCGCGGTCGGCATTTTGCGCAGGCAGGATCGCGGCCATTCTTTCATCAGCGCGGTTTCGACCAAGTGCCGCATCGGGCACGTCTGCGCCTCAGAGTGGCTCGCCCGTCGGTCGTCGGGTGGAAGAACCTGGCCCAGGCCCCGCCGCAAACAGACCATAGTCTTGATTTCTTAATTTTGAGTGGGCTGCTTCTGCCATTGACGTCGCCCCCGCGCGACCATGGCGGGGCGCGGCTGCTATGCAGGATCCGGAGAACGTAAGTATGCGCCACCAGGGCCTCGAGCGGGCCCGGCTGACCCCTGGGGCTGCTCTTCCGACCGCGCGGCAAGCGCCGCTGTCCGGGTGGGCGCCGTTGCCGCCGGCGTTTTTTGCCGAAGAAGCAATGGCCCCGCACGGGCCGCATTTCCATGCCCCCTCGCTTGCACTTGTTCAAGCCAGGCGCGGAATCTTCAGATTGCCGCGCAAGGTCGCCACCCTCTCCAAAATTCCACGGGGCGCCCCCCGCCCTCCAGGTGACATCACTTCGCAGGGGGGTCGCCGCGGGAGACTCGGCCGCTACCCTCAGTGGCCACCCGGGAGCTTTCTGGGAGCAGCTGGTCAACATGATGCATCGAGCTGCTTGGCAGCCCCTCAGAGGAGAATCTGGATGGCAGGGCTTTTCAGTTTCATCTGCTCAGCTTTCTCAGCCAAACAGGACCGCGTTTGGTCGTGGGGCTTGAAGAACCGACAGGCGCTCCGATCTTCAGACCGTCGCCCAAGAAGCAATCATTACTGCCGATGCCCAAACTAAGCAGGATGCATTGGAAAGTGCAGCTACCTCCTGCGGCTGGGCGGTCGGGCCAAAACAAAAACATCTGCGTTGCTTTGCGCGGTCGTTGGCTAGCGGTGCCCCCATTGAGCTCTGAAGCCAAGGGTGGCTGCGCACATGCAGAATAATATGGGCAACGTGGAACTCGCCCGGAATTCGAGTGCCAGCGAAGTTACAAGCAAGTTAAACTCATGCGTCTGGCTTGTTGGGCCAGCCCCGTCCCCCCCCCTTCCCTGCCCCCCGTCTTCTTGCCCCCTTTCTGCCGGGGGGGGCGGTCGCCTCGGCCCGGCGCGACTGTCGCCATCCTTCATATGCACCGTGAAGACGCCTGCAGCAACATGGCTGGGTGCGACGCTGATAAGCAGCACGCCCCCTTGACTGGCCACCCGGAGCACCTCGAGACTGGCGCGAGGGGGCGCGCGATAAGGAGTGACTCCTGCCAGGAGGCAGCCTGGCGAGTTCCCCTGGGGCCCAGCTCAGAGTCATAGCCCGCGTGGGTACCTCCCGGGAGGCGCAACTGCAATTCTTCTGGATGTCATCTGCGTCGTCTCTTCTCGATGTGCGCTCTCGCTATAGTTGCGCCTCTCTTTAGAGAGCCCCAGGCCCCGGCGGCGCTTGCGACGACTGCAACCTCATGGCCCCCGCCCACACTAAATGACAAGGGTGATTGTTTCTCCGCGGCGCAGAACATCCCTCGCAGCAGCGAGAACCCATCGGCTTAGAAGATGAGCGGGTGGCATGTTGCACAATGGTTCCAGGGGGCGCCCCCTGGCCCGAAATCAAATGAATCTTTTCCGACCCAAACTAATGGTAAGATGTGCCGCCTATTGTTTCGCGCCGAGACCTTCGCCTGTCTGCGCGCTGCATTAATCCGATTGCAGCAAAGGGAGGCTGCCTGGGCGGTCCTGCGAAACGGCCTCGCACGTGATCAGATTGCATTGAGATGTTGCCGCTAGACACAAATCGAGCAGTGATGATGCCATCTTTCTTGATATGACCGACGCTTTGTACCGCGTCAGTCGCCTCGTTGCATATGTTATGCCGAGCTATGTTGGAGACATCAGTGATGCCTCGTAGGTGATGCCCTGCAGGAGCGTCCACTCTCATATGTCCTTGTCTTGAAGGACCACCGCATTTTGGATGACGGAGACCTCCGTGCCTGGGCAGCACCTTGGGTGCGATCACATCCTTGTCTTGGCCAGGGAAAGGCAGTCTGGGGCATGCTGGAAGGCTGAAGGGGGGGCGGTTGCGACGGGCCCCGCGTTGGTTCGCGCCCTTGAATTAATCCCGCCGCCGATGTCGCCTGTCCTATCTGGAAGAAAATGCATGGTTTTGTCGACCGCAACATGGGTACAACATCTTAACATGGTTGTCAAGGGGATTGCGAGAACGGCGTTTCCTCAGGTTCGATCGTGGATGATCTTTTTATGAGCGCGTCCGCCAAAGGGGCGACTCTCATGCGAATTACGCGGCGCGCGCTGGACATTCTCGACGAAGCCGTCTCTCGCCAATGCGTGGACCTGCATTGGGGGCACGACTGCCGGGGTACTTAACCCCGAAAACAATGTTTCATGGCCTTCGCTCTCCATTCTTCCCTGTAGGTGCTCCCGCCGACGCGCCGCCTCCGTTGGGAGTGTAAGTTCCTGTGGTTCGAGCGCGTCAGGCGTTCGGATTTAGGGCGGCTCAGGACGGGGCCGCGTCGGCTGTGCCCGTTGCCGGCCAGCGCTTGCTCTGCGCGCGTTGCCCCCGATCTTCTCGGCGCGACTACAGACCGCGCGGTGCTGCATGCGCGAAAGTCGAGGCCGTGCTCCCTGGAGCCCTGAGTGCGCCTGTGCATGCTTCTCGTCTGCCGCGCGAGTTGACTTCGCGCCCTGTTTCTGCGCTAAAGTTGGCGGGGGCCGATGGAGCCGCGCGTCGTGCCGCTCTTGCTCTGCCGAGAGCCAATCGTGCTGAGCCTCCAGCAGCCCGCCGCGGCAGTTGCGATCTGGCCAGGAGTTCCCCACTGGAGCAGGTCGTTTCAATCGCGCACCGTCGCCGCCTGTTTCGGGCCGCCTCTTTCGCCGCCGCCCCGCCCGCGCCTCGCGTTCTCGTCGACGGCGCGCCCGGAGAGGACGGAAAGGCCCTGGAGACACTGGAGACAGCTCGCGGACTCGGACATCAAATGGCTGCGCGAGCACGTGGGTCCCAGAGTACGCCCAGAGCGTGACATTTGCCCCGCGTGGCTCAGTTGCCTCGCGGGCATCCTCATGAAGTGCCAAACTGCCGCTGGTGCCCTCGCTCGGGGGGCGGCCCGGCAGAACAGGGGGGGGCTCCGAACATCTCGCATGGATCAAGGAATGTGACGCCGCAACTTCTGAGCGGTTCAGGTCCGTGGCAACCCTCGCTTAGTCAGGCACGCGCACGCGACAGCGAAGTGCACGCAGAGCTCCATCTACGCGGGGATTCAAATCGACGAGAGACGCACTTTGCAGCGCGATAACCGACGCAGGGGTGATCAAGATGATTGCTCGGCTCGCCCTGCGTGCAGGACCTCCGAACTGGTCCCCCCCGTCGTCGCGGATCCCGCCCGACCCCGCGATCGACCTCCCTTGCGTCGATTTCGATGGCTCTCAAGTTACCGCGCCCTCTTGTTACTGCCTTGCCCCCCTCTCTGCCTGTTGGCTATGTCCTTCATCCACTCACCGCCCCGCCGCTGCGAAGATGTACAGGGTTACTTTCGAGAGATGTTGGCGATACATCCCATGAGAGCGCGCGCGCCCAGCATAGACGTGACTCACGCGATCCACAGCGGGGGGATCTTGCGCGCGACGAAGCCATTCGCCAACCGGCTGATTGCATGAGGACCGGCCATGTTTTAGCTGTTGCTGGAAGCCCCCCGGGCGAGACATGGACGGAGTGCTAGGAGACATCTTCCCGTTACGAGTGCTGCGACGACCCCCATCGCCGTCCCCGTTCGCCCCAGTCACCACGGGGTCTTTTTTGCCCCATTGGCAAAACAGATAGGCGAGTGGAGCTTGGCAGTGATGCCTTGTTGACTAAGATCCGGTTCGTGTGCCTTGCTTATCCTTTCCGCATCCCGCGCACCATGGAACATTCTGCGCCCAGTCATGAGAACCCTTGCGTTCCGTCCACTTAGTACCTACCCGAGCTTACGAAACTGATTCATGCGCCAGGGGCAGATTCGGTCGATATCCACCAATGCCAGTTGGGTCGCGCGCGAAAGCCCACGAGGTTGCTTGCTGTTCACTGTCCTTCTCTGCAAGGCATAGTGGACTGTCGCCCGCACAAGGGGGAATGCGGGGACAACCATGCGCCCATGTCATTGCAAGGGTTCAGCACGAGAGGGGGATGGAACAAGTTCGCTGCGACAGCCCATCCCAGACAAGTGTGTCACACCCTCGTTGATGCCATTCTCTCCGACGTCCACGCTTCCATCCCTGCTGCGCATGGTGAATGGAATGAGTGGTACATGGATGACTGGGCTGCCCCTTTCTTCGTCCCGCCCGACCATTTTTACTGCAGCTCCCCATGAGCAGCGATTGCATGGCTCATGGGGGGAGACGAACCGACTTTGTTCCCTGAGCCCTCTTTGGTGGGCATGGGGTTGCAGGTCTCGGCCTCCATCTCGACCCTTTTACAGGCCACGAACTTACTTGCATGGCCGTTGGTTGATTGACTGGGGAGGACGACGGGGAGGAGAGGGAGGGGGAGAGGCAAGGGGAGGTGGAGTAGGGAAAAAGAGGTCGGTGGGGAGGGGGGGGCCGAGGCAGCACCAGCAGCAGCGGGAAGAGGAGAAGGAGGAGCGGGAGGGGTCAGGAGAGAGAGAGAGAGAGAGACAGGGGGGATGGAAGAGAAGCAGCGGGGTGAGGCCGAGGAGGACAGATCGCGTGCGCGTCCGTTCGGCGCCCGCGCCCGCGCCCCCGAGGCTCGCTGGAGCTGGCCGGCTGCGGCCTCGGCGACGAGGGACGCGTGCCCCCCCTGCCGCGCGCGGGCGCCCCGCCGCGCAGGCCGAGGGCGGGGCGGGGCCCGCGCGGCTGCACGGCGGGGG